TATATATATATGAATCTCCCCAACCCTTAGTTTTTGTTTTTTGAATCAGGCAGGGTCTTGCTATGTAGACCAGCTGGCTTCCAGTTTCAGCTTAATATTCCTGCCTCTGCCACCTAAGTGCTGAGATTACTGGTGTGTGACACACACATACACAGACACACACCTTTTTTGTCATTGCTAATTTTTGAGGGTTTTTTGTTGTTGTTGTTGTTTTCATTAAACATATGCTTGATTTATTAAAATATCAACTTATATACAGCTTTAAAACAGTTTCAAAATGAATTCAATGCATTTTATTCAAAATGTATCTTAAAAGAACTAAAGAAACAGGATTTCTTTAAATTAATAGTCAACTTGGATATCATTACACAGCATTTTCCAAGAGCAACACTAAAATTATAGTCATAGAAGAACATATAAATATGCTTACAACTTTTTAATGATTATTTTCACTTTTCTCTCTAGCTTTACACAAAAATTTTATTAATAACATTTAATGATACCTACAAAATATTTTAAAATTTAGTTTAACAAAATATTAGTAATTCAATGGACTTGCATGCATTCATCTTATTAATCAAAATACAGTTCATTTCAAATACTCAGAATTGGCTGTTTTTAATTCATTGCTAATTTTTTGAAGCAGGGCCCACATTTTATAGCCCAGGCTGGCCTGGAACGCATCATATAGGTTAGGCTACTTCAAACTCATGACCATCCTGCTTTAGCCTCCCTAGTCACTGGGATCACAGGCACGACTACAAGTGTTCCACTTGTTTTTGAGACAGGGTCTCACTATATAGCCAAAGTCTGGCGAACTCTAGATCCTCTTGCTTCAACCTCCCAAGTCCTGGTACTATTACATGTGTGAGTGCCCACTCCTGACCCCCAGGGAATTTGTAATGCCTGTCCCAAGTTAGAATTGCAAAGTTTACCTCCCCAGACATCCATGTAGAAGACCATAGGCCAATGCTGGCTGAACAGAGATTCTAGATCTACCAGAGAAACTAGGCCTTCACTCCTGCTCCAGGTGAGTTCAGGAGAGAAGAGAAAGGAGAGGCACCAGCTTCAGGGCTGGGTCCTTTGAGGATCTCTCTCTATAGTGCTGCTCTCAATCTTACTAATCAGAGGCACTCCCCTCAAGGGCAATAAAAGTAGGGATTGGGTTTGTTTTCTCCTTTTTTTTTTTTTTTTTTTTTTTGAGACAGGGGCTCCCTGCAGCCCCAGCTGGCCTGGAACTTGCTATGTAGACCAGGCTGGCCTTGAACTCACAATGCCTCCCAAGTGCTGGGATTAAAGGTGTGTGCTACCACACCCAGCTTGTTTTCTAAGAAGTTTGTAGTCCCTGGGATAGCTGTGAGAAATGAAAAGAATGGTGCTCTCTAAAACTGGCATGTTCAGACCTATTTTGGAGACTTGTAGTAGTGGAGAGAACAGACTAGAAGTGAAAGGAATTAGAAGCAAAGAGACCAGCGCTGGGGTCTAAATTGAGCCTTGACACAGAGATCCATGTGAGAGTTCACAGGGTGTAGACTCAGAGGGCAGGGGCTGTGAGGGAGGATTTCTAACTTGGAAAACTGGCTCGATAGCATCTGTCTTATCTCTCCATTCTTTGTGTTGATTGCTATCTTTGTCCTTGGGCCACTGGCTCACTGTCTTGTTCACTGCAGCTTTACATGATCTTTTCTGTCACAAGATGGCTGTTACTGCTTTTTGACAAAGCCTATCATTTTGTTTCATGGGTTAATTTCCTTTTCAAGGCATCAGCCTCACTTCCTCCCTTGAGAGAAGCTGTGGATATAGAATTTTTTAAAAAAAACCTTAGGAAAGGATTTTTTTTTCATAGAAATATATTGCATACTATGTTTAAATAGGCATTGATACCTATTGTCATCAGTTCAGAACTTATTTATTAGTATTTCCTCAGTGCTGGGGATTGAACCTGGGCCTCACCTGAGCAGATGCTATACTACTGAGCTGTACCTCCTTCCTTTTGGATTTTTTTTTTAATTTTATGTATATGAGTGTATTGCCTGCATGTATGTGAGGGCACCCATGTTGTGCAATGCCGCGGAGGTCAGAAGAGGGCTTCGGATTCCCCTGGAACTGGAGTTAAGGCGGTTTGTAGTCACCATGTGGGTGCTGGGAATCAAACCCGGGTCCTCTGCAAGAGCAGTCAGTGCTCTTAACTGCTGAGCCAACTCTCTAGCCTTTTGGATTTATTTTGACAACTTACCTATGAGCTGCTTGAAGGCAGAGACAATGTCTTAGTTCAACATGTGGACCCCTAGTTTAATGCAGAATGACTCAGATACAACATGAGGGTTTTCTCAGCACTTCCCATAGCACCACTGCCTGTTTCCCCACCTTTTCCCAGCAGCAGTGGTGTTACCCACCAAACAGGAAAGGCAACAGGTTGGGATGGAGGTCAGACAAGATGTTTCTCTTGCTGTATTCCATTTGTTCATATGTGTCTTAACTTTCTTTTTGGCAGCAAGGGGGTCAGGCCAACCACCCTACAGCTGCTGTGGTGACGGAGAAGCAGCAGATGCTGGAACAGCACCTTCAGGATGTTCGGAAACGTGTGCAGGTGAAGTAGGAGTCACTGACCAGGGACACTTGCCTGGGGGGGAGTCACTGATCCCCCGGGAGACTTGCCTGGGCATATCATGTGTGTGGGTCCTGCGTGTGCATTTTCATTCTTCTTGAAACTTTCTTTTCCCTCTTTTTTTTAAACATCTGTTTTTGGTTTATTTTAAACAGGATCTAGAACAGAAAATGAAAGTGGTAGAGAATCTCCAGGATGACTTTGATTTCAACTATAAAACCCTCAAGAGTCAAGGAGGCAAGTAAATATTAGAGATGTTAAAATCTGTAGAGTGAGTCTGTGCTATTGAGTTTAAGGACTTGTCTTGACTCTGTTTAGACTTCATGTGGGAGAGTGGGTGCACTTTTGGCACTTAATAATTGATTGCTTGGTTTTTGAAAAATATTTTATGTGTATGAGTATATTGCCAGCACCTATGTAAGTGCACCCATGTCGTGCAATGCCCATGAAGGTTAGAAGAGGGCATCGGATCCCTTAGAACTGGAGTTAGCAGATGGTTGTTAGCTGCCATGTGGATGCTGGGAATCAAACCCTAGTCCTCTGTAAGAGCAGCCAGTGTTCTTAACTGCTGGACCATCTCTCTAGCCCTTGATTGTTTGTTTTTGAGATGGGGTTTTACCATTTAGCTCAGGCTGACCTTGAACTCATCATCTTACCTTGGCTTCCCAAGTAGCAGGGACTGCAGAGCCACTGCCTCACAAAGCTCTAGCCTCATTGAGAAGCTTGGGAGTATTCCCTTAAGTCAAGGAGTCTTTCTTCCCTCCACAGACATGCAGGATCTGAATGGAAACAACCAGTCTGTGACCAGGCAGAAGATGCAGCAGCTGGAACAGATGCTCACAGCGCTGGACCAGATGCGGAGAGTAAGCGCTTTGGACAGTGTCCCCAGTGTCACACACCTATCCTGGGAAGACTTGATTAGAAACCACCTATTGTGGGTTTCTAATAGGTTCCTTATCAGGAACTGACTAAATAGAATGTGGTTAGGCATGGTCTGGGGAAATGTTTTTGACTTTGTTTTGTTTTCCAAACAGAGCATTGTGAGTGAGTTGGCGGGGCTTTTGTCAGCGATGGAGTATGTTCAGAAAACGCTTACAGATGAAGAGCTGGCTGACTGGAAGAGGCGGCAACAGATTGCCTGCATTGGCGGCCCTCCCAACATCTGCCTGGATCGTCTAGAAAACTGGTAAGAGTTAGAAGACAACCTTTTCTTTTACTTCTGGAAACCTTGAATCATGATCCCAACCACAGGCTACAGAGCTATGTACTGTCTTCCTTATTCCCTTTCTTTTCAGTAGGGGATTGAACCTAGGGCCCCACAGGCAGCTGCTAGACAAGTGCTTCAGAACCACTAAATAAACCCCTAGCCCTAATAAATATACCCCTAGCCCTTATATACCCCTAGCCCTAATAAACCCTAGCTCTAATATACCCTTAGCCCTAATAAACCCTAGCTCTAATATACCCTTAGTCCTAATTGCTACCTCATTTCTAAGAGGGGGACTTTTAAAACAAATTTTTGAGACAGAATCTCACTGATCTGCATATGTTGGCCTCAAACCCACTGTGTAGTCAGGTTGGACTTGAACTTGGAATCTTCCTGCCTTTCTAGTAGCTGGAATTACAGGTATGTACCACCATGCCTGCCTTTAAGTGGAGATTTTTATACACTCATTTAGTCTCAGAGTTGAAGTTAACTTAATTTGGACAATTTTTTTTTTTTTTTGTCTTTTTGAGACAGGGTTTCCCTGTAGCCCCAGCTGTCCTGGAACTTACTATGAAGACCAGACTGGCCTCGAACTCACAAAGATCCACCTGCCTCTGCCTCCCAAGGTGTGTGCCACCATACCTAGCAATTTGCACAAATTTTTAAATAAATAAAAATATACTTGTATCACTGTTAAATATATTTAATTTTAAAATTGAAGTCATACTTTTAGTTGTATTAACACTGAATTTAAATTTTAGTTTTTTTGTATTGATTTTTTTCGTTTTGTTTTGTTTTTTGGTCTTTTTGAGACAGGGTCTCTCTATAGCCCCAGCTGGCCAGGAACTCACTATGTGAATCAGGCCGGCCTCAGAGATCCGCTTGCCTCTGCCTCTCAAGTATTGAGATTGTGCGCTATCACACCTAGAAATTTTGTTATTTTAGTAAGGTAGAACAGCATTATGTTCTTTTTTTAGACTTTATGCCTATGAGTGTTATGCTGCATGTATGTAAGTGCATGTATGTCATGCAGTGCCTGCAAAGGCCAAAGAGGGTGCCAGATCCCCTGGAACTAGAGTTACAGACAGTTGTTAGCCTCCATATGGGTACTGGGATTCGAACCCTGATCTTCTGTAAGAGCAGCCAGTGCTCTTAACCACTAAACCATCTCTCTAGCCCTAGATATGTTCTTTGTAAGGGGAAAAAGTTTAAATACATAAAGTTAATGAAGTGAAGGAAATTTTAAACCAGTCATTTAACAGAACCAGATTTTGGTGACCTCACCAGAGTTTGGTGACCTCACTTTAGACATCTGTCATACATAGACACATAAAGATAGAAATTCAGGTTCCATTAGCAACTCCCCCTTTTTGCCATAGGAAGAATGGATCACAGGGATGTGTATATGCTAGGAAGCACTCTACCCTGAGCTTGACCCCAGCGCTCCTGCTCATTCTTGATATGCTCATTTGCAATCTGCTTGTTTACTGATATCTGTTCAGCAGATCTTTTGTTTGTTTGTTTGTTTGTGGTCTTTTTGAGACAGGGTCTCCCTGTAGCCCTAGCTGTCCTGGAACTCACTATGTAGATCAGGCTGGCCTTGAACTCACAGAGATCCCACTGCCTCTGCCTTCCGAGTGCTGGGATTAAAGGCACACACCACCACACACGGTCAGCAGATCTTTACTGAGCACCTTTCATTCCAAAGACCCAGGAATGAGCAAGTTCCATCTCCTTCAATGGAAGAAGCTTGAGGAGGGGGAGCCCAGATCCACAAAACTGTACATTTAGGACCAATCTACATGACAATGCCTATACATCCATATCCTCACTGACCCTGAGTGTTGAAGATTTAAGGAAAGCAGTTTGAAATTCCTCCTGGTCAAGGACTAAGAAGTTTTAAGTTCTGGAAATGAGAGATTGGAAGTGCCAGAAAGGAGCCCTGAAGCCTCTGCAGCTGTCAGCTCCCCTCCGCTCATCCCCTCCTTTTGATGTCTTAGCCTTATGAAGCCAGTGGATCATCAAGGAAACACCAGTATCCCCCATTCTTAGAGGCAGACTCCATCAGCTCTACCTCCAGCTGTGCTTGCTTTTTCTTTTCTTTCTTTCTTTTTTTTTTTTTCCCCAGTCTTTTCTGAGACAGGGTCTCCCTGTAGCCCCAGATGGCCTGGAACTCACTATGTAGACCAGGCTGGCCTTGAACTCACAGAGATCTGCCTGCCTCTGCCTCCCAAGTGCTGGGACTAAAGGCATGTGCCACCAGCCTGGCCTCTTGCTTTTTCTGTATGCATGTTACCAGTGCTTTGACATACATCCTGTCCTTTGACTGATGAAGGATGTTGTATGGGCTCATGAAGTTTGGCCCCTACTCTGTTTCAAGGGGTCACTAAGGCCCATGACAGTGAGGAGGCTGGCCATGTTCATACAGTTTGTGAGTGGCAGAGCTGGCTCAAGCCATCTTCTTGGGCTGTTAATATCCTCTGTTTCTAGTCAGGATGAGGAACGTGAGTACAAAGTCCATAGTTCTTATTCATTGCAGTGGTAACTCCATGAATGCCTCCTAGTGTTAGTCCAGCCCCCTGTTTGAAACTGTCTCCCTTTTTTCTTAATGCCACTCAACTATACACTTCAGATGGCTGAAATGGTCATTTTTATGCTATGCATAGTTTACCACAATAAAGAAGAATGCCTTTTCATTATTTTAGGGGCTGATTCTCTCTCCCTATCCCACCCCACCCCCTTTTTTTTTTTTGAGACAGAGTTTCCCAGCTGGCCTGGAACTCATTGTGTAGATCAGGATGGCTTGGATCTCCCAGAGATCAGTCTGCCTCTGCCTCCTGAGTGCTGAAACTAAAGGTATGCCCCACCATGCCCAGCCCCCCGCCAACTTTTTTAAGACGGTGTCTCACTGTGTAGCTCCAGCTCAAGGTCCCTTTGCCTCAGCCTCCTGAGAACTGGGATTACAACTAGGTGACATCTCAGTGGTATTTACACTTAGGACATCCCCCCTTTGACCTGTGTACACTCACGTAGGTAACTAGGAACTTTCATTTCTTTATCGGCAGGATAACCTCATTAGCAGAATCTCAACTTCAGACCCGCCAACAAATTAAGAAACTGGAGGAATTGCAGCAAAAAGTTTCCTATAAAGGGGACCCTATTGTACAACACCGGCCAATGCTGGAGGAGAGAATTGTGGAGCTATTCAGAAACTTAATGAAAAGGTAACTTAAAAAGTCATGTTTATAGCAACGTTGACTGACTTGAGAGGAACAGGATGAAGACTGGTCACACAACATGTGACATTCTATCCTTTTCCCTTCTAGTGCCTTCGTGGTTGAGCGGCAGCCCTGCATGCCCATGCACCCTGACCGGCCCTTAGTCATCAAGACTGGTGTCCAGTTTACCACTAAAGTCAGGTGGGCCCCAGCATGTACACTTTGGAGGGACACTCAGGGTCAGAGCAGAGTTGATGGCCAGGATTTTTGTTTTTGTTATTGCTGTTGTTTTTATTTTTTTATTTTAAAATTACATTTACTTATAGGCCAGGCATGGTGGCACACGCCTTTAATCCCAGCACTCGGGAGGCAGAGGCAGGCAGATTTCTGTGAGTTCAAGGCCAGCCTGGTCTACATAGTGAGTTCCAGGGCAGCTGGGGCTACAGGGAGACCCTGTCTCAAAAAGACCAAAAAAAAAAAAAAATTACATTTATTTATATAATTTTGTGTGTCTGTGTGTGGGTACACATGTGCCACAGAGGTCAGAGGATAACTTGACAGAGTCAGCTCTCTACCATATGGGTCTTGAGTATTAAACTCAGGTTGTCAAGCTTGATGGCAAACACTTTTCCCTGCTGAGCCCACTGAAGCCATCTCACCAGCCTGTTTTTTCTTAAAGGAAAGGATTTATCATGACTTGAAGTGATACTGTCCTTCACAGTGGGGATATTTTAGCACCAGGAGTGGCTCGCAGCCGTTGTGAGGGAGCCTGTGATGGCTGGTTACGTTGCATCTGCAGTCAGGAAGCCTTGTTTTTGATGGGATCTTCCTGTTACCCAGATTGGTCTTGAAACTCACAGGCTTGAGTGATCCTTCCATGTGTACCGGGGACTGTAGGCATGTGCCACTATGCCTGACTTGTTCTTTCCAGGCTTTATAGGATGGGCAGCACTGCTTGGGATATGGAGATTGTTGGCACAATATCAGCTTGCTCTTGTCAAATGAAAGAACTGTAATCTCTTTGAGACTTTCTGGGCATGTGCCTGTGATTATAGGCCTGGGCTGTTGGGCCCTAGCTTCTCCCCTGTCCTCCCAAAGCAGGAAAATAATATTATCTATGTTCAATTCTACTCTTCCTTGAGGATTTTAAGGGAAAAAGTAAGGCCCAGTGAAGGCGGGAGGCAGGCCTGCAAGGTGAGGTCTTACCCCTCAACTCAGGTCAGAACAAGTAAGTCTGGAGGGTTTTCCTCCTGCAGTGTGAAATTTCTTTTCTCATCAACAGTGTGGTATTGCATTTCAAGTTTAATAGAAAGAATACCAGCTACAGAGCATGGCCTTGTAATACTTTTCATTAAATGTTTTATTACCTCTGTGGTGTGTGTGTGTGTGTGTGTGTGTGTGAGAGAGAGAGAGAGAGAGAGAGAGAGAGAGAGAGAGAGAGAGAGAGAGAGACTGTGTGTACCTCACAACTTTGTTCTCGTAGGAGTTTTTCAATACATTTTGGCTGAAAGGGCAATGTTCAGCTTAAGATGCAAGATGACCTTGGATAGAGGTGGAATCTGGGTTTGTAAATTTATTCACTTTTTAGGAATGAGGTATTAGGAGTTTTGCATTTTTTAAACTAGATTACAGGTAAGGAGCCTACTAACTTTAGCTGTGTGTTTTTTTTGTTTTTTTTTTAATAGGTTGCTGGTCAAATTTCCTGAGTTGAATTACCAGCTTAAAATTAAAGTGTGCATTGACAAGTAAGTAGTCTTAAATTTAATTAGCTTTTTTTTCAGATGAGGAATAGGGAAACAGGAACTTCGACAGACATTATTTGACATTAGAAACCATTCCCATTCAGAGATCTTTGTTTTGTGAATAATTAACTATTCTCTAAAACCTTGTAGATCCTTGTCAATTTGGTTCGAGCATGGGAAAACAAAAAAAGATCTAGGGGTATGGCTCAGGGTTAGAGCTCTTACTTAGCATGCATGATGCCCTGGGTTCAACCCCCATGATGAAAAGTAAGTAAATAAATAATGCTTTCCAATTATATTGTAGTTGAAAAAAGCAAGCAAGCAAGCTTAGCATAGCAAGCTAATTTAGTTTTCTTATTTAGTGTGTATGTGTGTGTGTGTGTGTATGTGTCAGTGTACATGGGTGCATGTGTGTGGAGACCAGAAGCTGACATGGAATGTCCTCCTCTGTCACTCTCCACCTTGCTTTATGAGACAGTCCCTCTCACTGAAACTGGAGGTCATGACTTGGCTAGGCTGGCTGGCCAGTAAGTCCCAGGGCTCTGCCTATCTCTTTCCCCCAGTGCTGGGGTTATAGACACTTGGGGCACTGGCTTTTACATGATTGCTGAGGATCTGAACTCAGGTCTCCATGCTTGCATAGAAAGCACTTTACCACTGAGCCATCTCCCTAGTCCTTAGTATGCAGTTTGGTAGGATGAATTATATTCATGTTATTGTACAGTGAGTCTCCAGAATGTGATCATATCGCAAAGCTGGAACACAATACTGATTGGATGCTGCCCCTCATTTCTCCTTTCCTTTAGTACCTGACAATCACTACTTACCTAAAAAAGAGGCAAGAGTGTGCCCTGCCAGATAGTAAACTGTATCAGAGTTCTGATTGCTAAATGTGTGTGTTACTAGGACAAGAATATGCTGATTGATCATTGAAACATGGCCTGAAGTCTAGAAATGGGCCTCAGGTTAATACAAGGGCTCAATACATGCTTAAAATAGTATGTGGGGGCTGGAGAGATGGCTAAGTGGTTAAGAACACTGGTTGCTCTTGCAGAAGACCGAGGTTCAAATCCCGACACCACATGGCAGCTAACAACTGTCTGTAACTTCAGTCCCAGGGGATCTGACAGCCTCTTCTGACTGCCACAGGCATTGCACAACATGAGTGCACTTACCTACATCAGGCAATACATGCATACACATAAAATAAAAATAATAAATAAAATTTAAAAATAAAATAAAATAGCATCTGGTATTAGGAGGAGAGGACAGGTGCTCAGTAAGCAGTTGTAGGACAATTTTGTATTGGGAATTTGGTTGGAAAGTTAGAATTTTACTTTTCATGGACTAGAATAAAATGTAGGTGTATTTACATGTTAACAAAGCTATCTGCAGAAGTAGATAAATGAATGTGCCATGGAATGGTAAAATGGTGAAATGATACAACCACTTTGAAAGAAAGTCTGACAGTTTTCTAAAAAGTTAACCAAGTACCTACCCTGAGGCACAGTCATTCCATCCACAGGTGTTAACACAAGAGAAATAAAGACATATATGTATGTCCATTAACAGATGAATGAATAATTTGTACTCTGCCATACAATGAAGCACTACTCATCAACAAAAGGAAATGAATTATTGATAGTTACAACACATGAATAAATCTCAAAATAATTATACTAAGTGAAAGAAACCAGACTCCCTCATCCTAAAAGAGTATATACTGTTTCCATATATATATGGAAAAAGCAAATAAATCTGTAGCAACAGAAAACACAACAGTGGTTGTCAGGGCCAGGGATGGTGGTCTATGGAATTGGGATGGATTACATTTGGGTTTAGGGAAACTTTGGGGCCTGGATATGTTCCTTGGTTGTGCTGATGGTTTCTTGGGTAAGCATAGTGTACATCCATAAACCCCTTAAAAGTTGTCCGTTTTAGACACTGCACTTTATTGGTTATGAAGTATTCATCAAAACCATAATACAAAAAAGGCAGTGTGAAAAAGGGAACTATAGAGGCCAAACATGAGGGAGAACTTTCTGATAATGAAGACATTGGGTTTGAAAATGTGTAGAAAGATAAATGGCGTAAAGCTGATCCATTTTCTTCCATAAACTCATCAGAGTGTGCTTTTTGTATATAAATGTATAGCAATGGAGAGGAACTTTTTAAACAGTACATTAGAAGACTGAGAAATGTAACTACAAAAAAAGTGGCATACTCAGGAATTGAGATTGGAGCAGTCACACTGGGAATAGCATTTCCAGCCATCCCATGGGAGGTGCTGAGAGTTGCCAGTAACAAACCTTTACAGAAAACCCAGTGTGGCTTAAATAATAAGGAAATTTGTAACCTGTATAACTGGAAATGCAGAATTGGGGCAAGTACCTGATGATGTGAGATTGGTGACTCACAGGTATCCTCAAGGACCCAAGATTGTCTGTTTCTCTTCTGTCTGCCATCCTAGGTGTCACTTGCATACCAGGGTTCTCTTCCGGTAGCTGCTAGTATCAGCTAATGCCATGCACCTTCTTATGTACATTTAGGTTAAGCTGTGGAATAGAAGAGTAATCCAGGCTAGAATTCCCTCCTTGGCCTGGTTGTGATGAGGCAGGCCCTGTTCTCACCTCTAGACCTGCTCTGTGGGCTTGTTCTGATGAATGTAATAATCAGGGCTCCTCGGGAGGTCGGGATGAGCCTGACTGTCCTGTGCCTGAGCAGTGTTGGGAAAGGGAAAGAAGCTGTGGGGTAGGCACCCAACTAAGGCCACTGCTTAAGTGTGTATAGGGCTTTAAAATTTTTTATTTAGGGCCTGGAGAGATAGCTCAGAGCATTGGCTGCTCTTGTGGAGGACCCAGGGTCAATTCCTAGTACCTACATGGCAACTAACGACAGCCTGTAACTCCAGTTCCAGGGATCAGACACCCTCTTCTGGCCTCCACAGGTGTACTTACATAAATGCAGGCAAAACACTCATACACATAAAATTTATTTTATGTAATGCCTGAGGAGACCAGAAGAGGGCATTGGATCCCCTGGAACTGTAGCTATGGGCAGTTGTTAGCCTCCATGTAGGTGCTGAAAACCAACCCTGGATCCTCTGCAAGAGAGGCCAGTGCTCTTAACCTCCAAACCATATCTCTAGCCCCAGTGTGTAGGGTTTTATGTTTCACATCTAAAATGTAACTGAATCCTTGAAAGAATTTTCCAGGAGTATCGGACTTTTTCCTCTCGGCCTATGTAACAGCCTGTGTAACAGTATGTAGTCAGACTAGGTTCTGGGAGGAAACAGAGTCCTGTTTTATTAACTTCCACCTGTGTTCCTGACAGAGACTCCGGGGACGTTGCTGCCCTCAGAGGGTAAGTTCAGCTTCCTTTGATTCTGTTTAATCCATCTTTATCCTCTGGCCATTTGCCAGTCACCCATGTGTTCATTTTTCTCCTGTGATTCAGATCCCGGAAATTTAACATTCTGGGCACAAACACAAAAGTGATGAATATGGAAGAGTCCAACAATGGCAGCCTGTCTGCGGAATTCAAGCACTTGGTAGGTGGGAGCAGGCGGCCTCCCCTGCACAGAGGGCACATGACAGAGGGCATGACAGAGGGAGAGCCTGGGACAGTCACATATGACACATGACTTTTTCTCTCTCTTCTAGACCCTGAGGGAGCAGAGATGTGGGAATGGGGGCCGTGCCAATTGTGATGTAAGTTTTGTTGGGGATTAAAAATGAACTGGGAGGGTTTTCTTTAAGGGAAGGAGAAAAAGAGGCCTCTCCTGGGCCCAGAATGAAAGACAGACTTTAACCTATTATTTCAGAAAAGTCATTCTGGGCCAATGTGACATGCTCAGAAGTCACGGATGCCATGAGATTCTCTGACTTGGAGTATTTCCCTGAGTGTCAGTGAGTTGGCTCCCCATTCAAAAGTGGAAAGTCCCTTCCACGTTGTTACCCACTAGGTGGAGAAGAAGTTTCCATCGTGCTTGGGGCTTCCCAAAGTCCTTTGCCACCATCTGCCAGCTCCATTTTCAGAGCCTTGGTTTCCTTACCAAGGTGGAGTAGATTTAAAGATAACAAGTCTAAGTAAAACGTAAACAAAATTCCAGCACTCAGGAGCAGAGGCAGGAGGATCCTAGGTTTGAAGTCCTGGACTCAGTCCTCAGCCCACATAAAGGAACTGGAATCCATGTCTGAGAATTTATTAGTGACTGTGGTACAAACTAGGTTGCTCTACTGCCTGTCGTAGTAGAGATTGCTGTGGTCACTTTGGAAAACAGCTTGGTGCTATAAAAATGAGCATGCCCTGTAAACCAGCAAGCACAGTCTCAGGGCTTAACGCTTAACAGTAAAGAAGGCTTTGCATCGATGTGCCAGGTGGAAGGTACAAGATTATATAGCTCAAATGTCTAAACACAACCCAAATATTCATCACATCTAGTAGAGAAATGAATTGTGGTGTAGTCATACATAGAATATTGTACAGCTGAGAGGGAGGGGGAGAGAGAGAGAGAGAGAGAGAGAGATACAGAGAATAGGATTCCACATGCATAAAGCTCACACACGCCCCACACTAGGAAACAATAAAGGCATAAGAATAGCAGCAGCTCTGCAAGAGGAGAGAAGGGGGAAGGGGTGGGGTTTGGGGAAAGCCCCCAGAGAATTTGAGTTGCTAACAGTGTGTCCTTAAGCTGGGTGGCAACAGTAGGGTTGTAGTTAACGGGTAGAGTGTGCTTAGCATGCATGAGACCCTGAATTTGATCCCCAGTGTGGATGGAAGGAAGGGGTGAAGGAGAGAAGAAGGAAAGGAAGAAATCTGAAAAATGTAAATTTTTTACATTTATTTATTTGTGTGTGTTAATATGTGTATGTGTGGACACACATGTGCCATGGTGGAAATGTGAAGGTCAAAGGACAACTTGCAGGAGTGTGGGTCCTGGGGATGGAACTTGGGTCTTTAGGCTTGGCGGCAAGTGCCCTTACCTGCTGAGCCATCTCACCAGCCCCCAAATAAATTTAAATGAGTAAATAAGCTGGATGCTGTAGTCTCAGATGTTCATTGTTTCGTTACTCCCTGTGCCTTGGATCCGTATAATGAAAGATAAGATAGAGGATCATGTCATTGGAGGGTCTTTGTGTTGCAGAGCACGTACTCAGAGTTATGTCCCTATACCTGGTCTGTGGCCAGCTCAGTGTAGCAAGTCTGTGTCATGTCTCTCTCCTTGACTGCCACTGAGAACCAGGGGCCATCTTCTGACGTGTCCTTGCTGTTGTAGGCTTCCTTGATTGTGACTGAGGAGCTGCACCTGATCACATTTGAGACTGAGGTCTACCACCAAGGCCTCAAGATCGACCTAGAGGTGAGTTCTGCAGGAGAACCAGTGGCCCTGCACGCAAGGGCAACAGGTTGTCTGGTGGAATTTTGACTAGAGAATGGTGAAATGGTATATCTAAGTACTATATTTATTTTTCATTATTTATCTATGAAAAGTCCTTGATATCCTATCTGAGAATAAAGTCTTGCTTGCATATGTGATATGAAAATCTGTATTTAGTAATTGATTAGGACCAATTTTATTTATTTATTTATTTATTTATTTATTCATTATTTTTTGTCTTTTTGAGACAGGGTTTCCCTGTAGCCCCTGCTGGCCTGGAACTTACTATGTAGAGCAAGCTGTCCTTGAACTCACAGAGATCTGCCTGCCTCTGCTGGGACTAAAGGAGTGCGCCACCACACCTGGCCACTAGGGCCAATTTTACAAAACTTGGGCAAGAGAGTCTTAGCAGCCATAATTTTTTTTTGGCACGTAGAAGATTGTGGCATTTGCATTTTGCTTTCTAGCTTTTTGATCTTATTGTTAAACCTGAAAAAGCAGAAATCCAGTCTTTGATTTCTGAGACCTCAGTTTCATGGGATGATACAGATTCTTTGCAGTTTAGAGAATACTTTCTGGGGCTTATACATGGGGAGTTGGGAACTATGAGTCCAGCTTTGAGCCAATTAGATTTCATAAATCACTGGCTGTATTCAGACAATAGCCTGAGTCCTGATTTCCAGATTGGCTTTTTTCCCCTCTTGGTACTGGGTTGCCTCAGTCATACTCCTGTCTAGAGTTGGCAGCAGGTGTGATTATAGCACAACTTGTGATTTAACCTGTTGAGATACAAGTGAAGAGATTTTTTTTTTTTTTGGCCTAGCTGCCTCACTAAGCAATTCCTACCTCCCTCATACTCTGCAGACCCATTCCTTGCCAGTTGTGGTGATTTCCAACATCTGTCAGATGCCAAATGCCTGGGCATCGATCCTGTGGTATAACATGCTGACCAACAACCCCAAGGTGAGTCACCCCTCCTGGTGGAAATCCCCAAACCCTATTCTCTCACGGCGCTTCAGATCCAGTGTAGGTCACTAGCACTACTCTCTCGTCTTAAGGAGCCAATGTGTTCTTTTCAACAGAACGTGAACTTCTTCACCAAGCCTCCAATTGGAACCTGGGATCAAGTAGCTGAGGTGCTGAGCTGGCAGTTCTCCTCCACCACAAAAAGAGGGCTGAGCATCGAGCAGCTGACTACGCTGGCTGAGAAGCTCTTAGGTCCGTGTCTGCCCTCTTCAGACAAGGAGTCTGGCTGGGGTTGGAGGCATCTCTCTGTGTCTGGGACAAGGCACCACACTGGTATTGGGTCAAGGAATCTATTTCACTGTGGTAGGAGGCAGGCTTCTTTTCTCTTGGTTACCTTCTCAGGCACTGCTGTCTAACCTGAGAAGATATTTTCAGTATGTGTTAGAAGAGGGAGGTAAAGGCTTGGCATTCCCTGCCTGTTTTGTTTATTCATTTTAATTTTATGTACATGAGAATTTTGCCTGCATATATGTAAGTGCACCATGTTGTGCAGTGTCCACAGATACCACAAGATGGCGTTGGATCCCTTGGAACTGGAGTGACGAGTGATTATTAGCCACCATGTGGGTACTGGGAACTGAACCTGGGTCCTCTGGAAGAGAGAAGACAGTGTTCTTAACTGTTGAACCATCTTTCCAGCCCCTCCTGCCCATTTCTTTAAGAAACCAAAGGCTAGTTTAAAATTTTTCTTCCCTTGAAAAAAAAAAATCTGAGCTAAAGTAATTTTGTCCTGTGCTGCCATCAAATACAGCATTCTAACCACAGCCGTCAGCATGTTAGTGTGTGCTGCTGGTACTCAGTAGACTCTATAGGGAAAGGAAGAGCAGGGGGCTTGGTAGGGTACCTCTGTTGGGCTAAACAGAGGAGGGGGTCCAATGATGGGTTTGGGTGTGTGGGGAGGTGTTGGTGCATATTACACACATGTATAGGCAGTGATGGCATCTGCAGTTATGAGACAAATATATGCACATTCCATTTTGAGAAATAAAATCTTTAAGCTGAACATTTTCACTGTTGTCTTTTTTTTCTCTTTCAGGACCTGGCGTGAACTACTCAGGGTGTCAAATCACATGGGCTAAATTTTGCAAAGTAAGTGATCTTGTTGATTCCTTTTGATCACCTCTTGGAGCCTGGTCTGGAGTGCTCACCTGCATGGTGGTCCTGGCAGGCATGAGTACTAAAAGCTGCTTCCTCCAGCAGCTAGCAGGAGCTGCCTCAGTGTAGAAGGGCCATGGGGTGTTGGCAGAGTACCAAGCCTCCAGAAGGAAGAGGCTGGAGTAGATGATGGTGGACTTGGCTTTCCCATTATTCCTTTCTCCAGGAAAACATGGCTGGCAAGGGCTTCTCCTTCTGGGTCTGGCTGGACAATATCATTGACCTTGTGAAGAAGTACATCCTGGCCCTTTGGAATGAAGGGTAGGTTGAAACTCTATTGCAGAGATTGGGTACTTGATGTGTCCAGCAAGCCACATGACACCCTCTGAACCCAAACAATGTTGGCTTTCCTTGGCTCTAGGTACATCATGGGCTTTATCAGCAAGGAGCGGGAGCGGGCCATCCTGAGCACCAAGCCCCCGGGTACCTTCCTACTGAGATTCAGCGAGAGCAGCAAAGAAGGAGGGGTCACTTTCACTTGGGTGGAGAAGGACATCAGTGGTGAGACAGCCCTCCTCCTGTCTTGATTGCACCCCCTGGTGGCGCCTGCTACCAGCACCTACTGGCCACTACCTCTGAAAGCTTCTGCTCCCTGGAGGGCAACTAGGACCCAGGCCTGCCTCTCTGCTCAGATGTGTAAACAATGGGTGACTTCTCTAATTTCCCCAGCTGAAAGTTGACCTCCACTGGCTGATATTTGTCTAGAAATGTGTGATTTACATTTCATTTCCTCATGCCCTTTCTTACCTACACTGTTAGTACATATTAGGCAAGTATATTGACAGTGACTCAGTTGGACAGCCTCTTTAAAAGCCAGCCTGGACATTTCCACAGTTCTGTGCCACTGGGCAGGGCATTCAGGGTCTCTAGCACTGGACTGGCATAATCTTTCCTTCCCATGTCCCATGGCAGGCAAGACCCAGATCCAGTCGGTGGAGCCGTACACAAAGCAACAGCTGAACAACATGTCATTTGCTGAAATCATCATGGGCTATAAGATCATGGATGCTACAAACATCCTGGTGTCTCCTCTGGTCTATCTCTACCCTGACATTCCTAAGGAGGAAGCATTTGGAAAGTATTGTCGGCCAGAGAGCCAGGAGCATCCTGAAGCTGACCCAGGTAGTTGTTGATTTTCCACGGTGCTGGTACTTAATTCTTGGGGAAAGTCAAAAACTGAAGATCCCTAGAGGAGAGACCAGGAATGGCTGAATATCTGAGGGGTGGGGGAAGTTACTCCTCCTTATGGGAAAGAACTGTTGATTGGGCACTTTGAAAATGTGACTGATGGTATTCAAGAGAACAGCAGAATCAGACACCAGTCCCTACCTCACAGGGAGCGTGTCAGTCTGAAGAAGAAAGTGGTAAAACACACACACCTAAAACACTAGGAAAAGCCGGGCATAGTGGCGCATGCTTTTAATCCTAGCACTTGGGAGGCAGAAGCAGGTGGCTCTCTGAGTTCCAGGCCAGCTGGAGCTACAGGGAAACCCTGTCTCAAAAAAAAAAACAAAAAAAACAAAACATGAGGATGAGATAGTGAGGACAGTTCTCTGATGCTTCTTACATAAAAGGCTTGAGACTTACACCCAAGCCCAGCCTGCTTTGTTTTCGTGTGTTCAAGGTGTCAGGTACGTTGAAGAAAGGTTTTCAGGGACAGTGACTGTAGGCAGTATGGGAGCACAGCTTACAGCAGAGTGGAGAGTTTGCAGATGACAAGAGCTGAAGGGGACATGGCATTTAGAATGTACAGATGTGGAAAACAATACCTTGTACTGTGTAAGAGTGCATGTATGTATAGGTTAGATAGAAATCATTTGATGTTAAACCTAAAACTTCCAGGACTGTCCCCAGCATTCAGGGGCAGAGCCTTCTGGTCTGGACCCATTCAGCACTTGCTGCTTTGACTGTCCTCTCTTCGCATTTTGATGAGGAGTCTTGATTTGTTCATCTGTGTTTTATGTAGTGTCTCTTCATTGTACGCCAGTGGTGGGCTCTTTAATGTGATATGTAAGGTTGACTTCCCTTGCCCTGCCTGCTTTTGACAAAATTGCTTTTGTCCACACGGCACTGTGCACATCCCTCCCACTCTTCCATAGGAATTTTCTCTAATTTCTGTTTCTCAGGTGGGGAGGAATGGGACTTGGGAGAGGAATTGGAGTTCGTTGACAGTTACTTTTCTTTTCCCTTTGTTCTGGTATCAAGTTCTGTTCCTACTGTGGAAGAGTTTAGCTCTCACTTCCTGTCTGCCCCTTATCTCTCCTTCCACCTTGCACTTCAGTTGGGAGATCTGTTTATCAGCTCCTCTCACACTAGCCTTTGTTCCTTCTGCAGAGGACTTTGAAGTCCACGCTGAACCTCTTGACCAGTTTTGCTCTCAAGATCTGGGCCTCTGATCTGAGACTGCAACCTCCATTGCCATCCCTCCTATGGCTGCTCAGAAACATTCCTCTGGGGCAAGGAGTAATCATAAAGGACTCTCCTTGCCTGGGGGAGAGGCAGAAGGGCAAGCATAAGGAGTATGCATTCAGGGTTCTCCTACTGAAGTGGGTATGAGGTTCAGGTGGGACTCCTCAGAGAGGTGAGCCTGTGATGTTCATTTCCTGTGTTTCTCCTGCAAGAGGATTATGATGTGGACATCCCTCATAGATAGAGCCCCTTCCCAGGATTCTTCCTTCCCCACCAGAATCCCACACAGTGTCTTCCTATGAATTGGTGGAAGGATTTTGAGCCATTTGTAGTTTGGATAACGTTCCGTCATAACCGTTCAGAGCCATACAGGAATCAGCTATTTCTTCTTTCTTCCATCTTAGTTCTTGACTTCCACACCCACACTTGGGTCCACACTGTATTTCTCAGCTACCTTGATCATTAGAGAATGAAATGCTTTCTCTTTCTCTCTCTCTCAACTTACTGTGTAGGGATGGGCTTTATGGAGGTCAGAGGGCAACTTGAGGGTTCCTAGTCTCTCCTTGCACCATGTGAGTCCTGGGGCTAGAACTCTGGTTGTCAGACTTGGCATCAGGCACCTCTACCTGCTGAGCCATCTCACCAGCCTCCTTCTGTCTCTAGGATGGCAGTTCTCTCAGGTCTAGACCAAAGCAGTTGGAGTTATGACACAAGAACTTCCTCAGCAATTCCTTTGGATTCTGTGTTGACTGAGCCTGCGTCTTGGCCAAAAATAAACTTGGCTTGCTGTCTGTGGCCACTTTTCAATGCCTTCTCCCAGGTTGTTGTCATATGTCCTGTCCACAGCTTCTCTGCAAGCCCCAGTGTTATATCTGTGCTTCTCTCAGCCCACCCTTCCTACGTCCCAAGCCTGCCGCATGGTTTGTTCAACTGACCATCTCGAGATTTTATGCCAGTATCCCCAGGGTTCCTTGATTCCTTGGTATAGTATTCCAGTCCCCATGTTCGTGAACTATAAATGGCAGGAATAATGGGCAATCACTGCTGCCTTCGCCCTCCCCTCCCTTATGTTTCACACATAGAGAAGGCTTCTTGTCCAGGTCTCTTAACTATTGAAGATGTACCTGTATTCTGCTTCTACTTGGGTGGATTGTACTGTACCACAATTGTCTGATATATTTAGCTGGGATGTTATCCATGTCCTCATCTAAAAATGTGACAGAGGCAGGTTAGTGCTGGTCAGAACAGAAGTGACTTTGGCACCGCTAGCATTAGCCATCTTTGTGTCCTCTTAAAGATTCAGTCCTATTGATATCTGGCTGGTCACCATGGTAAAGCTTGGTCTCTGCAAACAAAAGTTATCTCAGAGGTACAATCAGGTAAGAATAGAAGCCTAATACCACATGAAGGTAGGGAAGAAAGCACACAATTGGTAGCCACCTACGTATAGGTAGGACAGGTGTGCTGAGAAGTCTCTGAAGCTCAGCAAAACTGTGGAGAGAATTGAACTTCAAACTGCAAATGTCTTGGATGTCAAGTAGCAGGTGAGGAGGGAGGACAGCCCCACGGGGCAGACAGACTATAAGGATAGAGTGGAGTTCAAATCCATCCTGGTGAGGCAGGCAGCTTCCTCCTGCCCTCCTCTCATAGTAGGTCATAGCCAGTAAGCCCGTTTGTTCTCTCCAGGTGCTGCCCCTTACCTGAAGACCAAGTTCATCTGTGTGACTCCGTAAGTGACTTCCTTTCCCAGTTTTACACTCATTTCTAGTGTCCTCAGTTAACCCCCAGGAGTAGGGAGGACACTGGGTGAGAGTTACCCTGTGAAGGGTTGGAAGCTCCTGGGCTCTGTTTAATGCTCAGAGTGACCTTGTGTGTTTAAAAAGCTTGAGCTTTTATTTTTTCTGTTGGAGACCAGAGTTTGATGGCTTGTGTGTGTGTGTTTTGTTCTTTTTTTTTTTTTCCACTCCATTGTGTCTTGTCAACCCTACCCTTTCCCCTCCTGCCGCTCCCCCTTTCCTACAGAACGACCTGCAGCAATACCATTGACCTGCCGATGTCCCCCCGCACTTTAGATTCATTGATGCAGTTTGGAAATAATGGTGAAGGTGCTGAGCCCTCAGCAGGAGGACAGTTTGGTGAGTATTTGGTACTCAGACTTAGTCCCTATGAGGGAAGTCGGGCCCCTCTGTATGATGCGTACCTGTACAGAGTCACAGCCTGTCATCTGCATTGGTAGGAGGCGGCTTTAAAGCTGTGCTTTCTTATAGAAATGGAACACACACTCACCTGTAAGTGTAAGTTTTCCAACAACCACATTAAAAGCAGTAAAAAGGGGCCTGGAGAGATGGCTCAGCAGTTAAGAACACTAACTGTTCTTGCAGAAGACCCGGGTTTGAATCCCAGCACCCACATGGCAGCTAACAACTGTCCGTAACTCCAGTTCCACGGGATCCGACAGCCTCTTCTGTCCTCCGTGGGCATTGCATAACAGCGGTGCACTTACCTACATGCTGGCAATACACGTGTACACATAAAATAAAAATAATAAAATTTAAGAAAAAAAACAGTAAAAAGAAGCAGATGAAGTTAGTTCCTTATTTAACCTAATTCCTTATTTAACAGTAACATACTGTCATCTCAGTGTCTGAGGAAAAACCATTGAGCTATTTTTCCATCCCTTTTTCCTATACTAAGCCTTTGAAATGTGGTAGGCTTTTGACAACTCTGGGGCACCTAGATTTTGACTAATTTCATTTCAGGGGCTCAGTAGCCATGTGTGACTAACTAAAGACTGCCACATCCAGGGCAGCCTTAGACCTTAGTGAAATATGGAGAGCTGGGGCTGAGTTGAAGTAGGGTAGTTACAACCCTTCCAGAGGGAAAGCCCTGTAGGGAGCAAAGAAGTGTGGCTTTCCTTGCTTTGCCCAGGCCTGAAGGGACAGGAGACAGGCTACTGGTGGTGGCCTGAGCCTGTGAAGGGATGGGGCCTGTGCACCACCAGCTGCAATCAGGTAGCTGAACTAACATTTTCTGTCTGTCCCTGCAGAGTCACTCACGTTTGACATGGAGCTGACCTCGGAGTGTGCTACCTCCCCCATGTGAGGAGCTGTGAACGGAAGCTGCAGAGATGTGACTGAGGCACCTACCCTGTGTTCCACCCCTTAAGCAGCCAAACCCCAGATCATCTGAAACTCCTAACTTTGTGGTTCCAGATTTTTTTTAAAATCTCCTACTTCTGCTATCTTTGAGCAATCTGGGCGCTTTTTGAAATAGAGAAATGAGTGAATGTGGGTGATGTGCTTTTATGCAAAGAAGAAAGTATTCTCTGAGCCTGTGATGGGGGCTGTGAGAGCGGGAGGCCAGAGGGAGAAAAAGGAAATGCCTTGTGTTCTTTTTTCCCCTGCCCTCCTTTCTCAGCAGCTTGTTAGTGTTTGTTGTTAGACAAGTGCCTCCTGGTGCCCCCAGCATCCTCCTGCCCATTTCTGTGAGCTAATGCCCCCAGCTCCCTAGAGCTGAGGACTCCTGGCATTGCACTTTTGACCTTGCTAAAGTCCAAACAGAAGATAAGACTAAGCCCATGGGTTTCTTTTTACATTTAAAAAAAAGGAATAATTAAAGGGCAAAACACACTGTAACAGCATAGCTTTTCCCTATTTAAGAAAACCCAGTTAACAGCCTCTTTGGTGCTTTAAGCATTCAGCTATCTTCAGGCTGATAATTTATATAAACCCTGAAATGAAAATAGTTTCGGATCAAAACCTTAAAAAGACATCTGAAGCTTGGCTTGGCCTCTGGTTTAAACAAAAGGTTAGAGTGAACCTAGACATCCCACTCTTTTTATTATAAACTGAGTTTTATTTGCTCTGAGTATGCTCACTTACTTGAGGGGTAAGGATAAGCCAAGGACACTGAAAACCTTTGCTCCCTTCCCCCCCAGACTGTGGCCCCTGTTTCAGGGCCAGCTTGTCCTATGGGTGCCTTGCTGGGCCTAGGACCAACCTGGCTTCCTTTCCCACCTGACCTTCCTAGTGGTATATCTCCTTACCATATCTAAAGGCTCCCTGTCCCACTTGTAATAAAAATTCTGGACTACTCTGGGGCGTCGTGGTGCACGCCTTTAATTCCAGCACGTGGGAGGCAGAGGCAGGCAGATCTCTATGAGGTCAAGGCCAGCCTGGTCTACATAGTGAGTTCCAGCCCAGGTGGGGTTACAGGGAGACCCTGTCTCAAAAAGACCAAAAAAAAAAAAAGAATTTATATATATATCTTCTGGCCTCAGGACCTCATGAGAGGAGAGGTTTAAACATGATTCAGGCTACAGTACCCCAGCAAAGTGTCTAATTGAGCTCAGGGAGTATATGGTTCTTACCCTATTTTCTTCATTTCCAGAGGCACCTATAAACTCTTTATTTGTAAATGCAGGGCAAAAGCTGACTGATAAGCTCCATGTCCACCCTTCATGTGAGGGCTGTACTCCTGGCCTCCCCTGGGACTGTCGTTGTGGCCCCCAGGTGAGGCAGAGCAACCAGAGTCCCTGCACCTATTGTGGCCTTGTTACCTGTCTGCCTTAGCCACTCAACTTGCTGGAGCACTTCGTGGTGGGCCAGGTAGGGCCTCCTCTGCCCCAGAGGATGGCTGGACTCAGTGACTCAGAGCTGCTCAGTTGACCAATGTCTGTGGAATTCTGTTTGTTCCACCCAAATTATCTAGAGTCTGAATTAAGGGGGTGAGGCCCTTCTCTCCAAGATGAACTGCTTGCCTTGGCCACCCCTGTGCTGCCTTGAGACATTTATTGGCGCTCCCCCTTCCCTAGCAACACTCTTTATACACAATAAGCTGAACTCATAAATTGAAAGGTTATTTAGAAAGGTGAGGCTTGGGCTTCTCTGGGGCAGGTGCTGTAAATTTCATGGCTTTAGGCAGTATGTGGATCTTTGTTTAGCCAGTTGTAGCCAGGGTTCTAAGGCAAGCAGAAATTTGCTCTACAGAGTCCTCAGAACCTGCCTGCTTTCCCTCCCCTATCCTGCCTGTTTCCCGGCCGAGCCCAGCCATGCCTGCAGATTGCTTAGCCTCCCTGTTCAGTGGTTTGTATACTGCTGTCCTGGTCACTGCATTCAAATTTCAATGTATACTTCCTAGTGTAAAAATTTATATTATTGTGAGATTTTTTTTTTTGTATATTGCTGTATCTACTTTAACTTCCAGAAATAAAAATTATATAGGAACTGTCTGATAACATGGTAACTGTCTGGCTGCCTTTGCCCTGCTTGTGTTCTGAGGGGGCCTCAGCCCAAGCTGGGATGGGAGCACCAAGGTATCCAGAGGAGGTGGCTGCCTAGCCCTGGGGCTGAATTTGCATTTGCTTCTCACTCCTGAGGTGATGTAGGCCCCTCATCTTACATCAGCCACCAGCCTCCAGATGAAGTAACCCAGGAGCCAGGGGTCATAGTCCAGTGGCAAGGTGTCAGAGTGGCCTCCTCCCTCCCTCCCTTCCAAAGCTGTTGTGTTTGTTCTGGAGTCAGATAACCTAGCTGCCTAATGGAGGGTGGGAGGGTTGGGGTGTAGATCCAGGCCTTTCCTTCCACAGTTGGCCCATTATCACATTCTTTTCAGTTCCATCAGTGGGGACACTTCACTGGCTGTTAGCTGCAGGGCCCCTGGGCAGTCTGCAATGATAATTCAGGGAAATGCCTCCTCTCAGCATTTCCCCACCCACTGCACTCAGACTACTTAGTACCTTGGAGCCCAGCCCAGCACTGAGTACCTAGCGCCTAAGCCTAGCTGTTATGAGAGATACCAGCACTTCCCCTGCAGAGATGGAAGCAGAGATTAGTGCTGGCTGGGGCTGAGGCGGTGGCTGAGGGTGGCTGAGGCTGAGGGTGGCTGAGGCAGTGGTGGCAGTGGCGGAGCCTGCTTCCCACTCCCACCCCCTACCCTCCTTGGGCCCCTGAACCTCCCTGGGGCAGGCTACAAGTCCCTGCCCCCAACCTCACTTTGAGCTCTGAGGTAACTCACTCTACGGTTCCTTGCAACCCAACCTCCAACCCAAAGGAGTGTGCTCCTGAGTCTTAGGGCCCCATCCCCAGGCACTAGACTAGCTGTACCTGCACACAGGAGTTCAGCTAGGGTTAGCCAGGCCTCTCTCTGCCCTCACCAGCCTCAGGCCCCAGCAGCAGTTGGATGGTGCCACCTGCTGGTCTCTGGGAAGAGGCCAAGGGTGGATGGACTGTTGTCTGGACTCTACTGCCCCTGGCCACAGGAAGGTTGGGAGTCACACTGGCACTGGCTTTCATTCATTGCTTAGTGGCAGCTGAGGACTGGCAGCCTGGACTATAGCTCTGCCCTGCCCCTGGTCCCTCCCCTCAATCCTTGAAGCTTCTTTCCCCAGACCTTGAGCCCCAACTTTCCTGGGCATGCAGCCCCCAATGCACCTAGCTATTTTGTCTTCTGACACCATTGTTGAGTGGCAGCACACTTGAGATCACAGCAAGGGGCAGAGGTAACTCCTTAGAAGTTTCCAGCTTCAGTGAAACCCATCACCAGCTCCCCACCCCTAAACTAGGAGGCGGACCAGCAAGTTTATGAAAAAAAAAATAACTTTATTTAAAAACACTGTTTACATAAATGCGTGGTCTATGTACAAAGTACAAAAGAATCCCTCTGCTCATTCCACACTCCCTTCAGAGAGGTTGAAACTTGGGACTCCCGGTCAGCCAGCCCTGGCTGCCTATCGCAGCCTCAGAGGGAGGAGCTGGTAAGAGGCATTCTTAGACCATAGCCCTTTATACCACAGTGCAAGGCCTGTTCCAAGTTCCACCTCCCAGCAGAGTGGACCAGACCAAGAGCTTTCTTCTACTCTCCAGGTTCCATCACCTGTACCAAGTGGCTGGTTTGTTGCTTGACTCTTGCTGCAGGTTCTCTGCCCTACCACCAAGCCTCCAATTCCTAGACCCTCAGTATTTTCCTCCTTGTAAGCAGAGCTACAAACAGAGGCATAAAAGAAGGCTGAAGCCTGATGTGGTGGTGCATGCCTGCAATCAGCATTGAGGCAGGAGGATCATTCTGGGTTATGTAGGGAGACTGTCTCAAAACAAAAACAAAAAAATACATATATATGTATGTATAGATGTGCCAAGGATGAATCAGACGGAAGGGCTATCAGATGGAAAAGAGGGAGTTGGGTGGAATATGGACAAGGGCATTACAGACTCAAGGCCCATGCCCCCTGGCTCAGAGTTAAGAGGCCAATCACCTACATACCCATACTGAGCTCCTACGGACTGGCTCAAATTAACCCAGGCTCACTGTGCTGATGGCTACAGCCCAAACACACTGTGAGGGCTCACACAAGTCTGCATCCCATATTCACTAAAGCATAAAACATGCCCAAGAATGAACCCTAGTGTCCCTCGAGAGGGAAAGAATCAATGAAACCACCATGTGTGTGTGTGTGTGCAGACAGGTACACACCAATACAGGTATATGCATGAGGGTAAAGCTTCCAGCTCAGGAGTAAAAGTCCAACTTAGTACCTAAACCTGTCTCTCTTCTGGAATAATTTCACTTAAATAGCCATTGAGCAGATAAAGGACACAGGAGGAACAGGTTTGCCTGCAGTGACAGATCTGTCTCTCCCATGATAGCCCCTGGGGCCTGTTGAGGTCTTGACATGAACACAATGACCACTATGCTTCAGCTACAGATCCAGGACTGTGAAGGCAAGCTGGCAGTCCTCATCGCACAAACACACACACACACACGCATGCTATACGTGCTGCAAAGCCATTAGTATGTGCCGAGATACCGCAATCACAATTTGATATGGACTCTTCGCATTGGAGATAGTTTCCCATGAGAAGTGCGAAATTCCAACGTTCCAACGTTCAGGACAGGGAGCTTCTGGTGGAAGTGAAGAGACCAGCAGGTGGGGAGAGGCGGGAGTCAAGACTGTCCATGGGCCGTCGTAAAAGTTCTTCCACATGCCTGGCAACATCCATAGTCTCATCCAGGTCAAATTCTCCATCTTGGTCGAGGACAGGGTCAGGGCTGGTAAAGAAAATGATGTTGAGGAAGACGGCATATCTCATGGCCGCAAGCCCCAAAAGACAGCCCTTAGCCTACTCCTCACCAAGACCAGAGTCTCATAAGGACAGGATAAAGGCTGGATGGAACCTTCTCTAGGGTGGGTGGTAGTCACTGGCTCCTGGGGAAGCACCCTACTTCTATTCACATCTCTTGTCTCATAGCAGGAGCTGAGGGAGGTCTTTTTCCATCACAGGTGCTCATCCACCACCCACCTGAGACGCTACTGAGTTATGGATGGTACCACACCATTCACCAAGCCACTGATGGCCTTTGGTCACTTAACGGCAATCCTCAAGCTACCTTCAGGTGAGTATACACTCCATTCTTTAGAGGAGGAAAACCAAGGCTTGTGTTGTAAGTTAATGCATTCTGGGCCACCTGTAGCGAGGATCAGAACCTGGGTCTTGAATGATGTCATTATGGAACCCATCACTTTGTATAATGAATATATGCTAATAAAAAATTAAAAAGATAGCCAGGCATGGTGGTGCACACCTTTAATCCCAGCACTCAGGAGGTAGAGGCCAGCCTGGTCCACATAGTTCCAGGACAGCTGGGGCTACGGGGAGACCCTGTCTCAAAAAGACCAAAAAAAAAAAAAAAATTAAAAGGAAGTGGCTAGAGATGGATCATAGTTAAGAGTCTGCCGCACAAGCATGAGGACCAAATTAAGATCCGTGACTCCAATCACTCTTTCTCTCTCATGTATGCAAGTGTACACATGCACACATACATGCAAATTTTTTTGTGATCTTTTTGAAACAGGGTCTCCCTGTAGCCCCAGCTGGCCTGGAACTCACTATGTAGACCAGGTTGGCCTTAAACTCACAGAGATCCACTTGCCTCTGCCTCCTGAGTGCTGGGATTAAAGGCATGTGCCACCACACCCAGCTACATGCAAATATTTTAAAAAATTAAAAATACAGGGGCTAGAGAGATGGCTTAGCGATTGAAAGCCCTGACTGCTCTTGCAGAAGACCTGTGTTTGAATCCCAGCACCCACATGGTGGCTAACAACCATCTGTGGCTCCAGTTCCAGGGGCTCCAATGCCCTCTTCTGACCTCTGAGGGTGTTGTATGACACGGGTACACCTACCTACATGCAAGAAATATACTCATATCAAAAATTTTTTAAATATTAAAAATGGCCCGGCATGGTGGTGCACGCCTTTAATCCCAGCACTCGAGAGGCAGAGGCAGGTGGATCTCTGTGAGTTCAAGGCCAGCCTGGTCTACATAGTGCATTCCAGGCCAGCTGGGGCTACAGGGAGACCCTGTCTCAAAAAGACCAAAAAAAAAAAATTTAAAAATAAATCAATAAATAAAAATTAAAAATACAGTCAGTTCACAACTACCTGTAACTCCAAGTCTGGGAAATCTGATGCCCTCTTTCGGCCTCTATAGTCACCTACAGTCACATGCACATGCTCATACAGCACACATATAATTTTAAAAAGATGTTTTTTAAAAATTAACAATAAAGAATCTAAGTCTTTGTGACTCCCACCACAGCTTGCTGCCTCCCGGACCCCAGACATTCAGCCCAGGCCGCTCATAGTTTAGAAGGGCCTTAATTCTCTTCTCTGCTTTCAGTTTGCAACTAATAGTGTTGCAATTAGGGGCTGGAGCGATGGCTCGGTGGTTAAGAACACTGGTTGTTCTTGTAGAAGACCTGGGTTCGAATCCCAACACCCACATGGCAGATAACAACTGTCTGTAACTTCAGTCCCAGGGGATCCGACAGCCTCTTCTGACCTCTGAGGGCACTGCACGACATGGGTGCACTTATCTACATTCAGGCCATACACACATACACATAAAATTTTAAAAATAAATTGAGCCGGGCGTGGTGGTGCACACCTTTAATCCCAACATTCAGGAGGCAGAGGCAGGCAGATCTCTGTGAGTTCAAGGGCAGCCTGATCTACATAGTGAGTTCCAGGACAGCTGGGGCTACAGGGAGACCCTGTCTCAAAAAAACAAAAAAGAAATTTGATTAATTAATTAATTAATTAAAAAAATAGTGTTGCAATTAATAGTGCTCATGTTGTCTCAGGCCCTTCTGACAACCTTCCGTGTAAAAGGAATTTTACCATTATCATCTCATTTGATCCTCATCCTAATCATTAGCTGGAGCACATGAGGAAACCGAGTATCAGAGAAACTCGATTTTCTTTTTCTTTCTTTAATTCTTTCTTTCTTTCTTTTTTTTGAGGCGGGGTCTTATTATGTAGCCTTGGTTACTCATAGAGATTCACCTGCCTCTTGCCACTACACCTGGAAATTTTCTCAGGGTCAAATGACTGTACCAAAATGAGGGTGGGCTGGTGGTTGCCTATTCAAAGTGCCCTGACTGACCTAAACTTCCCTTCACCTGGTCTGGGCCAGACCCAAGAAGACCTCTAGATTCCTTTGCCCTTCAGCCCTCTAGGGATCCAGCCTCAGGCCAGCCTCCTCATAGACCCCCATGAAAACATGACCTACTTCTGAGGATACATGTTGTAGTGAGCCTGGGAGCACACCACTGGGGAGGGAGCCTGGTCCATGTATGTGGCGCTGGACCCAGCATCTGCAGATGCATTGACGAACCTATGGAAGGAAGCAAAACACAGCCTGAGCTGCCAGGGAGGCCAGCAGCACGGACTGGGGGAGGGTCTCCAGGGCATCTTTGGGGGGTGTAGGAGATCAAATTATACCACTGGGCCCTTGAACTCTGGCTGAGACCCTGAGTACTGGCCACAGCACCATCCAATCATTCCTTCTCAAAGGCTAAGCCAGGTTTGGGAGTGGTGACAGTAGGGAGTGTTGAGGGGAGAGCAAGAAGAGGAGAAAGAGGTACGGGGAGACCCAGAGCTGGGCCTCACACACTTACTCAGGGACCACTTGCTTGATCTGTGGCTTCACATATCCGTCAACTGCTTTAGCTGCCAAAGGGAGAACACTGGTGAGAACCAACATTTGGGAGCTCCAAGGGGGGAGGGGAGATGCCCACCCCATGCTGTCAACCTCCTGCCCACACCTGGACTCTTCTTAGGGGTAAGATTTCCCGAGGACTCCCAATAAATCCCTGCTCATGGAGCCAGCCCAAGGGTCACTGAGACCCCTGGCTTCAATCTTATCCCCTCTCCTGGTTCCTTTTCTGGATGTTTGTTTTCCATCCCTACCAAGGAAACAGCATCAACAAGACGCAAACCCCACCAATGGATTGGACAGGCGGAGGAGCCTGTCCATTTTGCTTATCCATTCAACTTGGAGCAGGTTGGTAGGGTGGAAAGTGGTGAAAATTGCTGATGAATGGGACAGAGAATTATCTGTGGGTGGGAATGACTCCTGCTCCTTCCTCCAGTGCGTCTGCCTCTTCCTCTGATGGTGTAGAAGTGAAAATCTAGCTTTTTTGCTCAGCTGAGAAGCAAGCTGGGGGAGGTTTCACCCTGAAATCCTCTTTTCTATGCCAATGACTAAACTCACAGAGGAGATGCCCCTGGGCTCTTCTTAGGGACCCACTGCCCAGCCCTCCTGGCAGCTGGACGCACCAAGCACAGGAGTGTAGTACTTAGAAAAGACCTCATCCTTGGGACGGTCTGGGAACACGTAGTTGAGGTAGGTCAGATCCCCCAGCCTGTCGGCCAGGGACCGGATGGAGAAATCCCTCGTAGTGAATGGCTTCAAGTTCCACAGGTTGCGGTCCGCTGAAAAAGAGACAGTTCGTTTGAAGGAAATCAGGGCTTTTCCCAGCCTGCATTGCAATTCCAGCCCTCCTGTTCCTCCATGCAGCAGAGCTCAGTCTGGAACATTCTACTCAGGAAACAGCGTGGCAGAAAGGTGACAGCATGGAACTGCAGGGGGACTGGCCTGGTGTTCTGACCCTGTGGAACTGGTGATTTCAGGTTCTCTGAGAGAGAAAATGATGGGAAGGGGAGAGAATTCTGTGCAACATGCTTCCCACACTCTGAGCTTAGCTCCTGCCTTTCCTAGAAGTGGGCGACTTCCAAGGACAGGGAGAGTGAGAAGAGTTCCCCGGGGCTGGGGTATGGGCAAGATAGGCACTCACGAGAGTCAAACTTCCAGGCAATGGTGATGCCTCCAATTTCTGAGTCGCTGAACCGCAGTAGGAAGGTCCCATCTGGCTTGTTGATGAGCAGATCGTGGGCCTGTTGCTTATTCACAAAACCTAAGATGGCCCTGTGTGTGTGGCATATTCACTGTCATTGCTGGGTAGACAGCTGCCATCCCTGGAACCCTCCACTGGCCTCCGAACCCTGGGGCCCTACTCCTCACCCATCATTCCAGTGTGGCTTATGATGCTTCTTTAGCACCTCCATCACCCCGTCGAACCACTGCCAGAAGGTGTAGTTCCAGCCCGGCAAGTTCTCCTGCCAGCCCCAGGAAACCCAAGTCACAGCAGCCCAGGAGGTGGTACCCTCTGTCCCCACCAGGCCTGCTTCCAATCCCCCCAGCAGTCCCTAAACTAACACCCCCTCTCCATGTCCTCATGGTTCCAGACCAAGGACCATCCTGTGAGGAGGAATGGAAGCTGTGAAGAGTTGTCTAGGCTGAAAAGATCCATTAAGAAGGTTCCTATCCTATCCCCTCATTGATAGGTGAAGAAACTGAGGCACAAAGGGCAGAAGAAGCCTAAATATTAGCAACAGGCCTAAGACCTGATCCCAGTTCAGGGTTCCTCCCATCATCCTTCTTTGGTTCACACAACTGAACATAATGCTTTGTGGCCCCGACTTGTATTTCTTGTGGTTTAGCACCAACCTCTCCTGATCATAGGAGAAAATGGTTGGGGGTAGAGGGTGGGGATGCTAGCCCCAGTAGGCAGTAGCCTGTCTTCCAGGTACGAAGAAAGTAGTACGGACCCTTATGGTCTCAAGCAGACAGCTAGAGGCTGGTTGCTCACCCTGTTGAACTGGGACCAGGACACGGACATGTTGTTGTAGTCCTCGAGGTGGGTGCTATTGCTGTTGAACAGTTTCTGTGCCAGGAACACAAGGTTCTCCTTGGTCAGGCCCCGGTTGCTCTGCACTTCGGCCTTGAATTTCATGTTGAGCGCTTCACACAGCTGCGGCCACAGCACTTTGTCAGGCACGGCAAATGGCACCCTGCCCTGAGAGGGAGGAAAGAAAAGGCAAATTGAGGGAACTGGAAATGTTTACATACACACACACACACACACACACACACACACACACACGCACGCACGCATGCATGCACGCGCGCGCACACACATACATGCAATATGTAGAGGCTAAGGACAGAGACTACAAACTGAGAGGGCTGAGAACCACCCAGAAAGACACAAGGAAGAAAGAAAGGCAGGGGAACAGGGAAAGGAGGTTGGGGCCAGCAGGAACAAAGACCCAGACAACGGGATTGAGGGTAGAGATTGGGCACCCAGCCATAAGGCAAAAGGCAGGTAAAGATCAAGCCCCCAAACCAGCCCCATACCTTGGAGAGCCAGCCCAGAGTCCTGGAACCTAGCTAGAGCTACAGGATAGGCCAGAGACAGGCAATCACCTCACCCTGCCCACTTCACTGCCCAGCTGTTCTCTAGGGCCCAAGGAGTTAGGGGCAACTTGAAGACAGTTCTGAGGCCCCAGGGCCAAGGTGGAGAGCCCAGGGAGAGACTCACCGGCTCAGCAAAGGCATTGTCCCATAGAACAGTGGCAGTGGCATTATGGTCCTGGCTGCCGTGGACGATGACAACCACAGGCAGGGACAGGGTCTGTGGAAGTCAGGGGAGTGAGAGTTAAAGGGTATGAACACAGGCTTGCCCTCTGCTTAGGCAAGACTTCTAATCTATATCCTTTAGCCACCATTCCAGCCACAAACCCTTCGCAATAGTCCTTAAGCATAAGCAAACCAACTGGATTTGGATTTGGTGGCTCACACTCACAATGCTAGTGCTGGGAAAATGAAAACAGGGGGCTGAGAGTTCAAAGCTAGTCTGGGCTATATAACAAGACTTTTTCTCAAAACTAAACAATCAAAGCAAAAAATAAACCCTCAGCTGGGCGTGGTGGCACATGCCTTTAATCCCAGCACTCAGGAGGCAGAGGCAGGCAGATCTCTGTGAGTTCAAGGCCAGTCTGGTCTACATGGTGAGTTCCAGGGCAGCTGGGGCTACAGGGAGACCCTGTCTCAAAAAAAAACCCCAAAAATAAAATAAATAAATAAATAAACCCCAGAACATACTTAGCATATTGCCCAAGTAGTACAGGCCAGCACCAGGGGATGGCACAGAATCAAAGTGGGTTATCAGGACATTGCAGGGTAACTGGGCTCAAGCTGGGAGGTTCAGAGCTCTCTGGTATTTTGTATTGTATTGTGTGGTATGGGTGTTCTGTTTTGCTTTATAGACAAGGTCTCATGTATCCCAGGCTGGCCTAAGCTCTCTATGTAAGTGAGGATGACCTTGAATTTCTGATCCTCCTGCCTCTACCTCCGGAGTCCTGGAATTATAGGAATTTACTACCATGATCACCAGTTTTATATGTTGCTGGGGCTAGAACCCAGGGCTTCTTGCTTGTCAGGAAAGCACTCTCTAAACTGAGCTACATCCCAAGCCTGCTTTTAAATTTTTAAAAATTTTATTTATTACTATTGTGTGTGCGTCTGAGTGACTGTAGGTATGCATGTGCCGTGGCTTTCGTGTGAAGGTCAGAGGACAACTTTCAATGATCTATTCTCTCCTTCTACCGTGGGTATAGGGGATCAAACTCAGGTCATCAGACTTATGCAACAAATGCTTTACCCACTGTGCCATCTTTCAGGCCCCACTTTATGTGTGTGTGTGTGTGTGTGTGTGTTTTCTTAGATGTTTTTATGTTTCTATGTGTGCCTGAGTATATGTATATGCATCATGTGCATGTAGGTACCCATGGAGGCCAGAAGAGGGCATCAGATCTCCTAGAACTGGAATTACAGGTGGTTGTGAGCCACTCGATGTGGGGCTAGGAACCAAATCCTAGTCAACCAAACCCCAGTCCTCTGCAAGAATATATGTGATCTTCCGTGGGTTTTTTTTTTGTCTTTTTGAGACAGGGTCTCCCTGTAGCCCCCAGGCCTGGAACTTGCTATGTAGACTAGGCTGGCCTTGAACTCATAGAGATCTGCCTGCCTCTGCCTCCCAAGTGCTGGGATTAAAAGCATGTGCCACTATGCCCGGCTACATATGCAATCTTAACCACCGAGCCAGCTCTCCAGTCTCTGCTTTTCTGTTTTTTGTTTTTTGTTTGAGACAAGGTTTTGCTTTGTAGCTCAGGCTGGCCTGAAACTTACTATGTAGCCTAGGTTGGCCCTGAAACATAGTCTTCCTGCTTTAGCTTCCTAACTGCTGGGATTCCACGTATACACTATCATACGCAGCTCAATCTCCCAGTTTTGACCAGGTGACTTTGGGCGGGTCCCTTCCCCTATCTGGCCGGCCCTCTGGGATGAGGATGTTGAGGCCTCACCTTCACCTGGAATACAAGCTCATTGCTGCCAACACTGAACTGAGATTCAAACAGGACCGTGAACTTCTCCTCTGTCACCGACTCTGCACCTCGCCTGTCAGCTCGCTTGATTCTTTTCAATGACTGCAGGGCAGGAGGCCAGAGGAAGACATGGGGATCATAGCTGGTTAACAAGACCCAAGCCCTATGCAGATCTTCCCTCTGAGTCTGGCCTCGTGCTCACCATGTTTCTGAAATGGGCGCTGAGGGTGCCGGTGGCCTGGTGGTACTCCATGACGCAGCAGTTGTTTAGGATCTCCCCACTGCATTCACTGCAAAGGAGAGGGGAGCACAGCTCCAGAGAGGCCCCAGGCGAGGAGCAAGTCCTGTCAGTGCCCAGTGCTTTGGTGACTTCACTCTAGTCGGCCCTGTCAGCAGCCCTTGCCCCTCACCCCTTGGGACTAGTTCTAGATATCTCTCTGGATTACTGTCTTCCTCATCAACCAGAGAGTTCTCAGGGTCTTGAAGGTCCTTGAAGTGTGGGTCTGTAGCATTGAGTTAGAAATACTCTAGGCACTGAGATTAAGATGGGAGAGCAGGGCTTCTGGTAGCTTCTAGTGCACTTAAAATAAAATGGCCTACAAAGACTCCTGAGCAGTGCTTGCCCTGCTCCGTAGCCTTGTTGAGTCCCCTACCTCTCAAGACCCATAAGCCACACTCATCTTAACCACCTGCTAAATGTGCTAAGCATTGGTATTCACTCATCCAGATAGGATGTTTTGTTTTGGACTTTTTGAGAAAGGGTCTCCCTGTAGCCCTGTAGCCCTGTAGCCCCAGCTTGCCTGGAACTTGATATGTAGACCAGGATGGCCTTGATCTCACAGAAATCCACCTGTTCCTCCCAGCCTCCCAAGTGCTGGGACTAAAGGCATGTATCACCACGCCAGGCTTTGACATGGTGTTTTAAGTTTCTCCATAGAGTGTATCACTTTGGGGGTGCTGCCTTATTAATATATACATATGTATATATATTATTACTACATGTATTAAAAAATTACATTTGTCATGTTAGCTTTGGTTGTCAACTTGACATACCTGGGAAGAGGAACTTCAATTAGAGAATTTCCTCTACTGGATTAGCTTGTGGGCATGTCTGTGAGGTATTTTCTTAACTGTGGGGTGATATGGGAAAGCCCAGCCCACTGTGGATGGTGCCACCCCTAGACAGGTGGGCTGGGTTATATAAGAAAGCAGGCTGAGCACAGGCCAGGGGAGCAAGGCAGTGAGCAGTGTTCCTCTGTGGTCTGTGCTTCAGCTCCTGCCTTGGCTTCCTTTAGTGATGGCTGTCACTTGGAGAGTAAGATGCAATAAACCTTTTCCTCCCCAACTTGTTTTTGGTCAGAGTGTTTCATCACAGCAATGGAAAGTAAACAAGGACAACATTTATTTCTTTTTTAGGGGGAGGTGGTGGCATGTGTGGATGTCAGAGGACAACTTGCAGGAGTTGGTTCTCTCATTCCACCATGTGGATCCCAAGGATTAAACTCAGGCTGTCAGGCTCGGTGGCAGGCACCTTTGCCCACTGAGCACTCTCACCAGCCCTACATATATTTTAAAATACATTGTTCTCTGATTCCCCAGCTAACCTGAGCATTCAGGAGAGTGGGAACTGAAACCCTGACCTTGATCTTCTCCCCACATCACATAGGAATCACACAGGAAACTTTTATTTATTTGTGTGGTGTGGGTCCTAAATGCAGGGCAAGCACAGTGCCACTGACCAACATCTACAGGCACAGAAGACATTTTTAAAGGGGGCAATGAAAGATGGGACCAAGCCTCCCACTGCTTCACTCACCCACAGCACACTGGATGGGTGGCTTGCCCTGAGTCCTGGGCTCTCAAGATCTGTGCCCTTCTACACTCTTTCCTCCTCCAGCCCCTGGTACTAGCAACTTATTCAGCTGCTGACCAGCAGGATTTTTTTTTTTTTTTTTTGACAGGGTCTCATGTAGGCCACGCTGGCATCAAATTCACTATTGCACTAAGGATGACCTTGAGCTGATGACTCTCCTGCCTCTGCCTCCCAAGAACTAGGAATATAGGCATATGTCAGCCTACCACTCAAGCTCTAAATATCAATTCTTCATCACCAGTAGCATGACCCCCTGAACGTGTCCCTGTGTGTCATACAGTTAGCACAGTACCCACTGCTCCGTGAATACAGATACAGCCTGCTCTTCCCGTTAGTGGGTTGGCTGGGGAGAGAGGCAAATTCTCTTTGGGTCACAGTGTTGTATCCACAGCTCAGCACAAATGAATGGACCACGTGGCAGTTCAATTCTTGCTGCCCTACTTGGTGGCAGGCACAGGCCAAGGACTTAGAAGGACAAAGGCCATGCTGTCCCCCAACACAGGCCCCTGCTGAAGAAGAGAAGCAACACCCAAACAAACCCAGCAGGGAGGAACAGGTGCACTCACTTGCGGGTGTTCTCGTTCTTGAGCAGGGACTTAGCCTGCTGCTCACTGATGATGGTGGCCTTCACCTGCGGGGGGTTCATGTGCACATTCAGCTTCCCACCCACCAGCAGGCGCACGGTGGCTGCGAACTTGGTCTGGGTCTTCAGGACCTGAGGGGGCTGCTTCTCGATGATGAATGTGCTGTGGGGGACACAAGTGACCAAACACATGACCAGATGCTGGCTGGGGGTTGGGGGGCTGTGGAACCTGCTGAGAGGGGAGGATCCTCCCATGGGGCTGAGCAGGAGAAGGCAGGCAGGCAGAGAGGCTGTGGGAAATTGGGGAGAGGGTGGGAGAGCAGCTGGACACCAGGGTGATTCCTGCAGTGTCCCCAACAGACACTGGACCAGGGCTGCCATAACACCTAGAGCCGCTGGAGCTGCAGTGGCCGGAGTAAGGCAGAGAGGCCAGACCTGGGCAGAGCTCTGGGTCTGGACAGCTCCTGGGCCTCTACATGTCCACCCCTGGGAGCTGCCATGTCCCTTTGAGCATGGCTGGGAGGCAGCAGTCACCTGGTGACCAGGGCTGAGATGATGTCTGTGATGGTGGCGTTGACCTCGGCCAGCATCTCCTCAACGGGACCAGGGATGGGCAGCTGCTGGCAGAGGTGTTCCGCCCTGCGGATCTGCTGCCGGTTCTGCCAGATGATCTCGGCCAACTTCTCACACCTGCAAGGAGCTCAGGGCCCTCAGGAGGACAGTGGCTGCTGCCCCACCCCACGCCAGGGGTGGACGTCACAGACACAGCTCCTCACTCCCAACAAAACCACCCAGGCAGGTGCCAGCATTGACCACTGCTCCCCTGCACAGGCACAGAGCAGAGTCCTACCTTCCAGAAGTAGAGGATGGACAGGGGCGGCCCTGGCTTGGAACCAACCAGCCCAAGAGTCACCGCGCACCTGAGTCCTTCCCATTCCCCAGGACACTACTTGCTCCCTGGGGGAGGTGTCATGGGACAGGGGAGCCAAGTCCCATCAGAAACAGGGCCACTGGTGAAGGGAGAGCTGTCACAGACAGTGGGAGTCTGCTGCTCAGGCCTACATAAGGACAGGAGAGGCTGCTGACACCATCGCCTGAGCTCTGCCTGCCTTGCCCACCTCTTTTGCCCTTACCAGGACTGCAGCACGTCCAGGCTGCCCTCGGGGGGACCCCCGTTTCCAGCCAGCTGCTGCCGCCGCTTCCACTGGATCAGCTCGTCGTCCAGGATGATGGTCTGTTGCTTCCGCAGCAGCTGCAGGGTCTTCTGGTGCTTCTCAGCCAGCTCCTGCAGGATGGCACAGCAGCCTTCTGGCTTCCAGAGAACAGCCCTGTGGGGCCTGGCTTAGACCCCAGGATACGATCCCCTCCCCTCCCACCTGCTCCACCCTGCACATACCCCTGGAAAGAGGGGCCCTGCTCTCATCCTGGCCTTGTCCCTCTACCTGGTCCCCAGAGTCTCTGGTCATGGTGCTCCCTCTTGGGGGCAGGACCTACTCACCACGCGGTACTGCTGTAGCGTCTGGGCCTCCCGCTGCAGCCAGGCCTCCAGGGACACCTGCTTCTGCTGGAGGGCCGTCTCTCGGCTCATGCGCTCCTGGGGGTTCAGTTGGGCCAGCTGGGCAAACTGAGCTGGAGGAGGGGACAGGACACCCACCACCATCATCTCCTGTGTCCAGTAGGAAGCCTGGAGTATCTGCTCTAGGGCGAGACCCTCAAGGTTAGACACCTCGTCAGTGTCAAGTCGAGGTCCTACCAAGCAATGATGAAGAGGGTCCCCCAGAAGCCAGCCTCCAGGCTCTGCTCACAGGCCTCCTGACCTAACCTCCCCTGGCCAGTGGGAGTGGGTGCTCTGGAGTGAAGCTGAGGAGGATCCTGCATGATCGCCCCTGCTGGCCCCACGGGGCTGGCAGCCAGCCCTCTTCACAGGGCTCAGAGCTAGACTGTGGGTACGAGTGGCCCTGCTCTTTAGTAGCTGGGTGATGTTGGGCAAATATGTGTCTTTCTTGAGCCTTTGTAAAGAGGGAGAATCCTGACACAAGCTCAGTGGGTTACTGTGCAGACTGAATAAGTGAAGTTTCAAGAACGTGCTCAGAGAGCTGCCTGCTGCATGTAAGATCTTTGTAAGTTCTTCCTGTGGGTTGACAGATGAAAGGATGGGGATAAAGAGTGTTAGCGACAAAGGCTTCTCAGGCCCGACTCTGACATGGGGAGCCTTATCCAGAGGCCGTGGCTCCTTCAACCTTGTCTTATCTGCTCATCCTCTGAGCTTAACAATGTTTCCTCAGAATCAGTGAGTCTGGCCAAGGCTGCCTGGTGCCCAGGATGCCTGACCAGAGAAGTCACCATGGAGATCACTCAGCTAAGCACTTACACAAGAAAGAAGAGAGATGGACAGACACAGAAAGGTGTTTCCAGGGCCTCCTGGGGTCACCATCTAGGAAGATTCCATTAAGGAAAGAGGCTGGAGGGGGCCTTGTCTCCCCCCTAGCTGTTGGGAATCCCATGGATGGTAGAAACAGACTAAGAATGAGGCCCTGGTACCTTTTTGTATATGCATGTGTGTGTGTTGGGAGAGGGAAGTGTTGAGACAGGGTCTCCTGCAGCCCAAGATGACCTCAAACTCACTATGCCACCAAAAATAATCTTCAACTTTTATTCTCCTAAATGCTGAGACCGCAGGCATGGGCTGCCACACCCAGCTGAATGTGGTTCTGGGGATCAATCCCAGGACTTCATGCATGTTGCAATCACTCTCCCCACTGAGCTACATCCCCAGCCCTCACCCTAATACCTTTTAACATGTGTGAAGAAATCCCAAGACATGGACCGGCCAGAGTCACACAAAGAGCATCCATCCTCAGCAACTCAGCTCAGCATCAAACGTGTCCAGGATTGAAGTTGCCTGTCCATCCCCACAGCTTGTAACATTCCCCCAATTCCCAGGAAAAAGATGCTGAATGCTGGCACTATTGTCTCCAGTGACCCTTGAGCTACCTGGTTCAGATCAAGTCAAGAAACTGTACACACTGGCATGTCTTGTTTGAGTTCCTGGCTGGCCTCTTAGCAGCATGTCACACTGACCTTTTCCTTGCCCCAGGGATACATGAGTTGGGACAGACAAAAGCAACATTAGACAGCCAAGAAAGACTCCAAACTAGAACTTAGAAACATGTTTCCCATCTTACCACAGCACACTGGTGGAATTGTCCAGGCCCAGAACACCGCAGAGTATCCTGCTAACCCACAGAAGGGCCAATACCCTGGCCCAGACTCCCCTTCAAGGACCCACTTATGTCTCTCCAGGCCATAGCATGGGTTAGGGGCTGGTGAGATAGCTCAGTCTGTAAAGCATTTACTTTGTATGCATAAGGACTTGAGATTGCATCCCAGCACCCAAATAAAAGCCCAGCATGGAGGTGCTCGTCTGAAACCACAATACTGTGGGATGGTGGACGTTGGTGAGATGAACAGAGGCAGGAGGATCCGTGAGAATGAAATAAGGTGGAGAACGACTAAGGAAGACACCTGACCTGAGATCAACCTCCGGCTTTCACGTGCAAAAGCACTCAGCAACATGAGCACCCTCTACCCCCCACATGAACACACATACACATACAACCCACACAAAAGCAAGCAAGCGAGAGAGAGAGAGAGAGAGAGAGAGAGAGAGAGAGAGAGAGAGAAAGAAAGAGAGAGAGAGGGGGGAGGGAGGGAGACTTAAGAATGGGTCTAATGGCTAGAGAGATGGCTGAGTAATTTAAGAGCACCTAGTACTCCTTCAGATCACCCAAGATCTCTTTCATATGACCCAAGTTCAGTTCTCAGCACCTATGTCAGGCAGCCCACAATCTCCTGTAACTCCAGTTCCAAGTGATCTGATGCCCTCTCTGGCCTCTGTGGGCACCTGCACACAGTGGCATATATTCACACAGACACACACATACACATGAAAAAAAACAAAATAAAATATTTTTTTTGAGACAGGGTCTCCCTGTAGCCCCAGCTAGCCTGGAACTTGCTATGTAGACCAGGCTGGCCTCAATGTCACAGAGGTCCGCCTGCCTCTGCCTCCTGAGTACTAGGACTAAAGGCATGTGTCACCATGCCTGGCTACCATTTTGGTTTTTTGAGATGTGATTTTACTGTGTAGCCCAAGCTTGCTCACCCTTTATCCTCTTATCTCAAGCCTCTTCCCATCCCAGTGTTAAGATTGTAGGTAAGCATCACCAGGTTTGAACCTTCACTCTTGTTTTGTTTTTGAAACAGGGTCTCATGTAGCCCGTGCTGGCCTCCAACTTGTTGTATAGCTGAAGATGACCTTGAACTTCTGATCCTATTACCTCCACCACCCAAGTTCTGGAATTACAGGCATGGATCACCATGCTCAGGTCATGCAGCTTGAACCCAAGGCTTCCTCATATCAGGTAAGTACTCTGCCAACTGAGCTACATCCCCAGCTCTGAGTCTTCACTCTTGCTATCTAACAAGTGTACAGTGGAATTTTCCAAAGGTTATGACATTACCACAGTTTGAAAGCAAGGCATAGTATCTGTGATCAAGGCCAACACAAAAGAGATTTGCAAATAGTCTCGAATTGCTTAAGGATGTGAAAACATTCTGAGAAATGCATCATTAGGTCATTTTGTCATCGTGTGAACATCAGTATACTTCACAAACCTGGATGTTATAGGTTGTTGCAAACCTAGGCTATGGGTGTGTAATATAAATGTGGTCCATTGCTGATCAAAACATTGTTGCAGCACATGACTACATCACAACCACTTCTGTCTACTCACTAAATTTTGCTTTGAAAAATATGCTGGTTTTTAGTTTTCAATAAAACTTTACCTTTTATGCTAACATTACTGAATTTATTGTTGCTGGTTTTTTGAAAGTGATAGTCATGGAAGACACATTGTTTTTCAAGTACAAGATGCATTCACCAAGACAGCATATGCTGAGCCCTAAAAATATCTGGGCTGGAGAGATGGCTCAATGGTTAAGAGCACTAGCTGATCTTGCAGAGGACCGAGGTTCGATTCCTAGCACCCACATGGTGGCTAACAACTGTTTGTAACTCCAGTTCCAGGGGATCCGATGCCTTCTTCTGACATCTGTGGGCACTGCATAACATGGGTGCACTTTACGTGCATGCAGGCAGTACCCTCGTGCACTTAAATAATAAAATATTCTTAAAAGTCTCCATCAATCTATCAGCGCTGAGGTCATATAGAAACATGTCTTATAATCACAGATGAGTCCAATAAAAAGATAACACTGAAATCAGTAGTAGTAAACATCTAGAAAATAATAAACAGATAGAAATCAAGCCATGACCTTCTAAACAAAACACAGGTAATCACAAGAGAAATTAGAAATATTCCAAAGTGAACAGTATGAATAGACAGGGCATTTCCAGAAGAAGAAACTATCAGTACAACAGTGCTCACAGGAAGATTTCTGTCTGCAAAAAAATATATATGGAGAGCACATAAAAGCCACTCTTTCCTATAGTTTCTGCCCTAGCCTAGCTTTACATATATAATATAATAATATTTTATGTAGGTAAGTGTAAATATATAGTTGAGTTTTGATTGTGCATGTATATATCTCAATACATATGAAAGAATTCAAATGAATACCTAAGTTTCTACCTTCAGAAGCAAGAGGGGTAAGGGCACAGAAGAAGGCATCCTGACCCTTCCTATTGTCACTAGGATAGGGTAGTCAGTCAACCTCCAGGGTCAGTCTGGAGTGGAAGCCATGGTCCAAGCCTCAAGACACCTCAAATTATACCCGGGCTAATTCCTTCCAAGGTCATTTTTATTTCCTAACACCCCAACTATGGCAACCATTGGCAAACTATAGACTTAGGAGACAGGAGAAATTTCCACTGTTACCCATCCCCAAGTCCACATCCCTTCAGAGACTCAAGCAGGGTGAATTCTGACATTCTATGTCTCCTCAGCCTGGTTTAACCAGTGGACTCCCATCCTGAGTCCTCCCTCTGGTTAGGGACACCTGGCCCTTATCCTTTGTTTGCATTTCACCAACTGCCTACAACTAGGGGGAAACTCTTAGTTAGGAAGATACAGAGATTTTTTTTTTTTTATGACCTATCTCTAGTTGAGATCTGGTTCTGCAAGTTATAGGCAACCTAAGCCAAGCTGTTTGTTCTTTTTGAACCTCCCTTGTAAAACAGGGACACCAAGCTATGCCCTCCTCTTTGTGAAGTTGCCTTTCATTATGCATGCAAAAGGCTTAGCCCAGAGTCTGGCCACAGCAGAAGCTCAAAGCCCCTTGGAAGCCATGACCCCCACCAGACTTTGTGCAAGGTGCTGGAGAGATGAGCCTCCTCTCCTGCAGGAGATCACAGAGCGTTTCTCCCTCCCACCCCCAGGATGCACAGGCCTCCTGGGTCCAGCTGCCCATCCTCACCTTGGATGCGTAGGCTCTCCTGGTACTGGATGATGAAGTACTCTTGGGTCTGCTGCAGCTTCTTCAGCTCATTCTCTGTGTCCTGTGTGACCAGACGCAGCTCCTCAAATGTCTGGTTGATCTGAAGGTGCTTCTGGGACATGGCATCAACCAGGACACCAGCAGGTGAGCTACACTGGAGATAGAACAGATTGAATGGAAGCGACAGGAGCAGTGTGCTGGGCAGGGAGGAGGGAAGAAAACCAGAGGTCCCCCCCCCACAGGAGTACCAACACTCCACACTCCATACTTCATGTCTAGGATAAGAAAGGGAGGGTCAGAAGGCTAGTCAGCACTAGAATAGCAGTAGAAAGGTGAAAGAGAAGAGAAACAGGTGGCCTGGCAGACAATGGTGCCTTCATAACAGAAATCTGTGTTTCAGAGCTGGTCTACACCAGAGTACTTCAAAAGAGTCCATTGAATTCCCTTTAGCAGAACTAGAATTGAACGTGTGGCAGGTGTCACCAGGGTCTTCCTCCTGAGGACTGTGAGCCCGTTCCATACTTATCTACAGACCCAATGCCACAGACTGAGTTAGGTGCTGGGGACACAGCGGGAGACAGGACACACAGCCTCTGTATCCTCACTAACACTTGAAGGGAGAGGAGAGGAGACAAACCTCTTATAGATGGCATCCTGGGGACCCCCAAAATGAAGTTAAAAGGAAGGCATCAAGAAGGCTCCTTTAGGGGCTGGAGAGAGCTCAGTGGTTAAGAGCACTGGCTGCTCTTGCAGAGGACCTGGGATCAAATGCCAACAGCCACATGGTGGCTAACAACTGTCTGTAACTCCAGTTCCAGATGCCCTCTTCTGGCCTCTGTGGGCACTGATGACACAGGAGCACTTACATACATAGAGGCATAACACTCAAACATAAAACAAAAGTTAAAAAGTTATTAAAACATCAACAACAAAAAGAAGGCCCCTTTAATCTTTGCCATTTTTCTAACACCTGGCCAAGAGGGGACCAAGTGGTCAGGGACTTTCCAACTAAGTGTTCTCAAAATAAAATCTAAACTCCTATAGATAACTTTAGCTACCCGGCAGGTGTCCTCTGCCTGCCTCCTCCCAGCTCCCCTGTGACCAGAGCATACCAGCTACATGTGTTTTCTGCCTCTGTTCCTTCAACATACAAGTATTGCCTGCCTCAAGTTCTCTGCACCTGATGTTCAATCAACCATGAATATTCTGACAGCAAATTCTCCTGAGGCAAGCACTTCAACTACATGTTATAGATGCGTGTTTCTCAATCCAGCTGAATTCCTTTGTACATTTATTTATAAGTAGTTCTGTGGTTGCAACAAGTCAGGGATACAGGAGTTGTGCTAGAAGACACTTGACCCCTTGTCCATTGTGACACTCTAGTTGGTTCTCTGTTTCCCGACTACACTGACCACTTGCAAGTCTTTGACTGTGATGCATGGCCAATGCTTTGCTGCCTTCACATATGCTCTTGTTATTTTTCTACAGAAGTCATCCTTCCCCCTTCCCTCTGTCTCCCGACTCAGGACACACCCAGCCAGGGGCCCCATATCTGCCTTTTAGCACTCAACTCACTTGAGCATCTGTCCTTGTTGGGAATCCTTCTAGGTGGAGACCAATCTGTTTACATTTTTTATTTAATTTTTATTTATGTGAATGTGTGTATGCCTGAGTATGTATGCCATGTATGTGTGGGTGCCTAAGGAGGCCAGAAGAGGGTGTCAGATTCCCCCAGAGCTGGAGTTATAGGCAATTATGTGCTGCCCGATGTGGATGCTGGGAACCCAACTCAGGTCCTTTTTTAAAATTTATTTTTATTTTATGTGTATGAATGTTATGCTTGCATGTATGTAAGTGCACCTGTGTTGTGCAGTGCTGGTGGTGGAGGACAGAAGAGGGCATCAGATCCTCTGAAACTGGAGTTTTGGATGGTTGTTAGCCACCATGTGGGTGCTGGGAATCGAACCTAGGTCTTCTACAATAACAGCCAGTGCTCTTAACTTTTGAACCATCTCTCTAACCCCAAACTCAGGTCCTTTGGAAGAGCAGCAAATGCTCATAACTGCTGGGCCATCTCTCCAGCCCCTTATTTTATTTTTATTTGTGTGTGTGTGTGTGTGTGTGTGTGTGCGCGCGCGCGCGCGCGCGCGTGTGCACGCGCACGCGCAAGCAGAGGCCACAAGAGGGCACCAGATCCCCCAGGTGCTGGAATTACAGGCGGTTTTGAGTTGCCTAAAGTGAATTCTGGGAACCAAGAGCAGGAAGCATGCTTAACCTCTGAGCCATCTCTCCAGCCCCAGGACTAGCCTGCTTCTCTAGTCCTGGCCCAGCACCAGACACTCAGGAGGTCCTCTCAATGTCTCCTGAGTGAACTGTAAAATTCCTGCTGTTGGTGTCTGTAACAATGACAATGTACCTGTCCCCCAAGTGATGCTAAGGTTTCTCACTGTATTACTTCACAAAATTTATTTTGCTCCACTGCAGGCAATATAGCGTTTGCATCACTACCAGTGCAGATGTTTGATGCTCTTATGATTTCAGAGGTTGTAGCTGAGCCCCTGTTCTCTCTCCTTGGGCCTCACTCCTGTTAGCCTGCTTGTCTTCATTCTTTCTTCATGGACCTCAGGCCATTTTTTCCACACAGACACTGCCAGTATACAGTTCTTATTTTGGCCCCTTCCCATTTATTTTATTTTTATTTTATATGTATGAGTGTTATGCCTGCATGTATGCAAGTCTCCCTGGGTCTTGCAGTGCTGGCAGAGAACAGAAGAAGACATTGGATACCCTGGAACTGGAGTTGAATGGTTGTTAGCCACCATATGGGTGCTGGACTTTGAACCCAGGTTTTCTGCAAAAGCAACCAGTGCTCTTAACCGCTGACCATCTCTTCAGCCCCATCCTGCCCCATTTATTGAATGTCATGTCTTTTCTTTGGTGATTTGTAGTGCCATCTCTAACACAGATGGGATTCTGAGGTTTAGGGTGTGTGTGCGTGTGTGTGTGTGCACGTGTGTGTGCACACATGTGTGCGTGCGTGCATATGCGTGTGTGTGTGTGTGTGTTTAGAACTTCCTCTTCTGTCCTATGGGGCAGTATGTCCATCCTTGGTCCACATAATATTTCATGATGACCCTTTTTACCATAACCACTTTACAAAGGGAGTTGGGGCTGTAGCTCTCTAGTAGAGCACTTAGCATGTTCAAATCCCTGGGTTTCATCACCAGAAGCTAGTGCGTGCATATGCGTGTGTGTGTGTGTGTGTTTAGAACTTCCTCTTCTGTCCTATGGGGCAGTATGTCCATCCTTGGTCCACATAATATTTCATGATGACCCTTTTTACCATAACCACTTTACAAAGGGAGTTGGGGCTGTAGCTCTCTAGTAGAGCACTTAGCATGTTCAAATCCCTGGGTTTCATCACCAGAAGCTAACAAAGAAAGGAGAGAGAGAGAGAGAGAGAGAGAGAGAGAGAGAGAGAGAGAGAGAAGAAGAAGGAGGAGGAGGAGGAGGAGGAGGAGGAGAGGAGGGGGCTGTAGAGAAGTCATAGTGGTTAAGAGGGCATACTGCTCTTGTAGAAGACCCGAGTTCAGTTCCCGGCACCCATGTCAGGTGGCTCACAATTGCCTATAACTCCAGCTCTGGGAGATCCAATGCTGTCTTCTGGACTCTGTGGGCACCTGTACTCAAACATGTATATACCCACATACAAACACATATACATAAAAAGTAAAATAAATCTTTTAAAAGAATAAAAGAAAGAAAGGAAGGAAGAGAAAGAAGAAAGAGAGGCTCAGAGAACCAGGGTCTAGGTCAGAGGCTCACTCACTCCACACCAGCCTCAGATATACTGCCTCTCACACCTGCCCCTGTCTTTTATTTCTTTGGTGTTCTCCTCACAGCCATGTTACATAAAAGCGGTTGGATCCAGAGAGAAAGTCAAATGTTAGGGCTCCCAGCTCCTTTCCCACACCCAGGGACACTCACGTTGTTGGCTTCTCGGACCAGCCTTTGTTCATTGTACAGAATGTGCCTGATACAGCGAACCAGCTCCATGGGACAGCGGTCATATGTGTTCTGAAAGAAGACAACAGGAGTCACCAGTGGCCACCTGGTTCTGACCGTGCTGGTTTCCTTGCCATGCCTACCCTCTTCCTCTCCCAGGAAGCCCCAGGAACCATTATCAGACACCTCTATCTCTCTTTGCTCCTCTTCCCCTCCTGGAACTGTGTACTAGGTTTTTAGGGACTTAGAAACCCATAGTTTAAACACAAAGCTCTTCCAACCTCCCATCAGCTTTGACTCTCAAAGCATGGAAATTCTACAACATAAGCTCAAACTCTTCCCATTTCATGGATGACAAAGTGGATGCTCAGAGAGGCTAGGCACCTGTCCAGAAGCAGAAGAAGAAGGGAAGAAAGGAGGGAGGGAGGGAGGGAGAGAGGGAGGGAGAGAAGGAGGGAGGGAGGGAAGGGAAGGAAGACTTAGGGCATCTGATACCACCACCAAGGTACTTTCTGCTAGTCACCTGCCCCTGCGTTCCCATTTGGCTTCCTCCCAGGTTTCTCCTGCTTCTTCCTTCTAGAACTAGCTTTGATTTCCCTGGCATCCTGCTGTTTGAATGTAAGAGGGGTTCTCTAAGAAATACAAGCGAGTTCCAGAGGAGTGCTTGACCATGAATACCACCCACACCCCCCTTCCTGCTGCCGTCAAACTCCTTCCCCGCCTCCAAATAAAGTTTACATTTTTTCTAAGCCTTTAATTCAAAACCTTTTCTCTAGTTCTTGCTGTAGGGCAACTCTGCTACTCTTTAGCAGCCCCAGGGAGGTGTCTGGTCACCTCATCCCTTCATTCTAGATGTGACAATCTTCCCTTCTGCAAAGGCATCCTCAGTCTATCTCCATTGCTTCTGCTTGATCTGTCCATAGTGCTGGTTCACTCATTCCTCCCCTACCCCATGCTGGAAACACCCCTTCCTCCCTCCTTCCTCCCTCCACACTCCTACCTCTTGCTTTGTAACATGTTAAAGGAATCTGACAGGTTTGACTTAGAAAGAGGGGGTGGGGGAAATTGAAGAAAAGTTGCCAGTAAGCTTATGGTCACAAGGTGACTCAGTGGTCAGGTCAGTAAAAATCCCAGGGGTTCTGCTATTGGAAGAGCTGGCTGATGGGGCCTTTCCTGCGCACAGCAGGCTTTCACACCCACCTGGAGCTGCGTCGCATAGTTCCCCAGCTTGATCTTCAGCAAAAACCCATCTTCCCCCACCTGGTGCTCTGCCTTCTTCTGCAGCTCCTGCACCAGACCCTCCAGGAGCTGGGTGGCCTGGCCTCGGTCCTGGGGATTATCCAGGTCAATGGCATCCCTTGGAACAGAGCAAGGGGTGAGAAACTATGGCATCTTCTTGGACAAGATCAGGCCACAAAGAGTGACTCAGGGAGCACAAGACTTGTTCCTGGCAGCTCTATAAGCACCAAAGTCTAGAAAAGTCCTCTCCCCTCCTTGACTCCCATTTCCCTCTTCCCCTTTCCCAGGGACACCACCCCTTCCGCACCAGGACAGATTGAACCAGAATCATACCAAACCACAAAGAGGGGGCCCGTGGTCTGGACAGCAGGGGCTGGCGGTGAAGGCCCAGGGCTTAGGGCACCTACCATGGCTGGCTCTCTATCCACTGAGCCAGGTAGTGTCTGACCTCGATGGGGAAGTGCTGTCCGTATAGCACTTGCATCTGGCGGAGGGCATCTCCCTGCAGCTGCTGGGCCTGAATCCAGCCCGCCATAGCTATTAACCTAGGGGAGCAGACGGCGGGAGTTGCCTCCTCTGCAGAGGCCTCGGGCCTGCCGGTGCCCTGCCATGCCACCCAAGGACCTTGGTGAGGCCAGGCTCCTCCCCTCCCCCCCTGCAGGCTTTCCTGTACGGGAAAAGAGGTGGTGAGGAGGGGCAGGCCACCCTTCCCTTCCAACAAGGAACCCACGAGGCTGGGTGGGGGTAGATCCGGAGAGGCAGATGTCTTCCCCTCTTCCTGTCCCCCTCCCCATCGAGCCTTCCCCAGGCCCAGAAAGGGGGGATGGGGGGCTTACAAACTGAAAGAGAAACTTTGAGACAGAGGCCCACAGCCCCCTCACTAGAGAGGATAGTAAGAATTCTCCCCACCCCACCTGGGACCCCGACTCTCAATTTCTAGAAAGGGGGACTATTCCAAACCCGAAGTTAGGGCAATGCAGCGCCGGCCACTCGACGTCCCGGTCCCCTGGGGCACGTGGCTGGGGCTGTCAAGCAGTGAAGGCTGAAAGCCAGATGCTGTCTTCCTTGGAGCACCCCTCGGCAGCGCTCCAGCGTCTGGCCCCCTCCGGGTCCTGCCAGACAGTGTCCGGTTCTCCACCGCGGGTGAGGACCCAGCCCACCCTCGGCTGTCTCCTTCATCGGTCCCTGGTCCCTAGTCCCTCTGCAACTCCACATCCGAAGGTGGAACCGGTCCCTGGTCGGCGCCGCGGCTGGGGGGCTCCAGGGTGCGGGGTCCCCGGGAAGCGGCTGAGGCGGAGCGCGGGTGTCTGCGCGCCCCGAGAGAGGCCACTCCGGGCCACCCACCTGGTGCTGCCGAGCGATCCGGCTGCGGGGCGGGCTGGGAGCCCGCTGCTGTCGCTCCGACCCGGGCTCCTGGCGGCGGCGGCGGCGGCGGCGGCTGTTACTACAGGAAGGAGCGGAGAGCAGCGATTTCCTCCTCAAAGGTCAGCTGCCTCCGATAGACCATACACAGAGCGCGAGCTCGCGCCAGCACCCCTCCCAGACGCTGTCGTTCCCTCCCTGCCTCCGCCCTCGGTCGCTGGCTTCCCGGCGAGTGCGCAGCGGCGGCTGCGGGGGCCCCGGGACAGGCCACCAGGCAGGGCGGCGCTGGGCGCGGGGGACAGCGGGGGGACTGCCCCGACGGCAGGGTCCCCCAGGAGTCCCAGCCAGTCTTCCCCTGCGGCTCGGGGTGGGTGGAGGGTTGAGGGGAGCGTCCCTGGACAGCTGAGCCCCCCCGCCCCCTCGCCGCCCTCGGGAAGTTCCGAACTGGAAAATATCAAACTAGGACCTCGGTTTTGTCTTCTGTATAAATTTAAGAGAGATGGGGGGCGTTACCTGGAGATGCCTTTTAG